TCGTGAATAAAGTGCATCGAGTACATTAACATTACTCTTAAAAATAGAAATCAAAATTATATTCCTAAATTTAGAATATCGTTTTTTCAATAAAAATGTAGAAATAATATTTTAAAATGTAAAACGAATACTATTATCTCGAGGAATAAAATAAAGACCTTCGTTTAAAATAATCTCAATAATGAGGACATTATACCTATATATCTATGAAAAATATAGATTTCAATGAATCAGCATTCTATTAAAATATATATCTTTTAGAGAGTGCATATCGCAAAAATATTCGCGAGTAATGGTAAAATTATACCAATTATTGTATAGTGCATATATATATATATGACATAAGAATGTAACGGGATATAGGTGGGTACGGTCTTCACATTTTTTTTGCCAACTTGGCTATATGACGTCACTGATGGAACGTGTATTCACACACATCACAATTTTTTTTTTTTTTTTTGCATCACGACTAGAATATTTGAGGTTGTCGTATTCTTCTTCCTAGGAAATGAAATTTTTTTTTCTCCTCTATACATGCATAAAAATGGACTTTTTTCTTTTATTAATCTTCCTTATGAGCATTCTTTGGCTGTAAAAATTCTTTAAATTCTCCTCGCTAGTATTATTTTTTGAAGAAATTTTCAATATTTATTGTACAGAATTTTGAATTATATATTTACCGCAGTGGGGCATGATTAATAAATTATTATTCTATTCATAGTTATTTATAGAGAAAAAAAGAAAAAAATTTATTTGAGCCAAAGAAAAATTTACTTATGACAAATAAAATTTTTATTTACACTAAATAAATAAGTTAGTATAGGCTCTGAGATAAATATATATTTATTTGGTTCAAATAAATCATTTCTTTGGGTGCAAAATTATTATATAATAATAAAATGCTTGGTCTGTCCTTCTGTCCTAACTTGAAGTTGGCCTTTTCTGATTTCAATGACACTGAAGTTACCAACGTTGAATCGACGAAAAGAATTTTTTTCCTAAGATTGAATATTTCCCCGCTTTAGTTGAGGATTTTTAGTGTTTAAGAATGTATTTGGGGACAAAATAAAGAAGTTTCAATTTTAAAAAATTGGTTCTTGGCCTTTAAACTAATTTGAAAACGAAAAATTCGTTCGTTTATTCGTCGAATCAACGTTGGTAACTTCAGCATCATTGATTTCACGTGTTTTTTTGAATAGTAATCTTATGACGTGTCAAATTTTGACAATTCTTTTTCTCATTTTTGCCAAAGTTGTATAATTGTGTTTCCAAATTTCGGAATAAGTTTCTTATATATATATCTTTTCTCTGCGGGTGTAGCTATTTCTGAAATAGAAAAAATTTAATTAAATTTGTGTAGTAAAAGTATTATTTCCATTTTTTTTCGAATTTGTTGATTTAAAAAAAATTTAATCAACTTTAATGAATTAAATAATAGAATTAATAAAAAATAATACAAATAATAAAATCATATTAAAGAAATTTTTTTTTTTTTGTAAACTGTCAATTTGAATAGAAAGTAAGCTTTTTTGACGTTTATTCGAAAGAAATTGGAAAAGATAAATTGCTTTTTCGCCAGAGAATATTGAAATTCTTATCATTTCTGATACCTGGCAATTCTTCGTAAACCGCTTAGACTTAGGGGCACACTATATATATATATATATATACATATATGTATGCGTTTGGCTTTCAATCTCTCTTTCTCCCTCCCTCTCCTCTAAAATCGGCTTTATTTTATCATGAGTTAGCAATGGACCACAATTCGCTTTTGAAACTCACTCGTCATTCCCTAAGTACCGTGACATTAAATTCAAATGAGCAACCAACGCGCGCGCTAAAGCGCAACCACAATTTCACTCAAGGACCAATTTTCTCATATGTATATATAATTATATATATGTGTGTGTGTGTAATACGAAACCCCGCTTTTTATTCACGACCCTATATCCATGACATCGTAAATCGACGCGAATTTATAAATCGTCCCTCATTCTCTCTCTCTCTACTTTTATAATGAAGTCGCGTTGAGCTTTTAATTATATATATATATATAGTCGAAATCTTACCCCATTTTATAATTGCTAAACGGAAATACCAATTATATTTCTCAATAATAAAGATATTTAACGTTTAATTATAGAGTTGAATAAAAATTTAGCGATAAAATTAATTAGGTACTTTAAATAATTGTCGACTCAATTAATTTTTAATTAAATTTAATTTAATTGAAAGTATCGTCATTATACTAAAAAATAAAAAAGAAATTATTCTCCCAGAGAAAAGATATATTTTTTTAAAGACAAATAAATATTTATTTGTTGCAAATAAATTTTATTTATCGCAAATGAATTCTATTTTTGCACATCCAGATGAATTGTATATTTGTCTCAAAGCCTAATAAATATTTATTTGATTCAAATAAATATTTATTTGATTCAAATAAATATTTATTTGATTCAAATAAATTTTTATTTGATTCAAATAAATTTTTATTTGATTTAAATAAAAAATTTTATTAACGCCAAATAAATGGGCTAGTTGGCTCTGCGACAAATGTACATTTATTTAACTCAAATATATTATATTTGGTTTAAATAAAATATTTCTCTGGGTGCAAATAATTATTTTTTTGATTTAATTAATAATTTTATTTATGACAAATAAAATTTTAAGTTTCGCTAAATAAAAATGGGCTGGTTGGCTCTGAGACAAATATACGTTTATTTAACTCAAATATATTATATTTGGTTCAAATAAAACATTTTTCTTGGTGTTTGTTTCAAATAATCTGTTACTTAACTATTATTAAATAAATATTTATTTGTATCAAATAATTTTCAATTTTAACAAAAACACTTTATTTAAACCAGTAATTTCTGAATTTGAAATAAATAAAATTTAATTGACTCAAATAAAAATTATTTGGTTCAAGAAAATATTTATTTGCTATTTGATTTATCACTCAGAGAAATGGTATATTTGTCTCCGAGCCTACTAACTCATTTAATTGTTGCAAATATATTTTATTTCATTTAGATAAAAAATGTATTTGAGCCAAAGAAAAATTTATTTATGACAAATAAAATTTGTATTTACGCCAAATAAATAAGTTAATAGGCTCTGAGACAAATATTTGTTTATATAATTCAAATATATTTTATTTGATTCAAATAAATCATTTCTCTGGGTGTATAATTAATACTCCAAGATTGGCTCCAAATACAGAAATAATTTGTTATTTCAATTTATTTTTTTCTTTTCTCTAAAATAGTGCAATTTTGTACGAAGTTTAATTTTTATATATGTTCGTTTATTATTGTTAATAAATAAATAATAGTCAAGTAATTAATTATTAAAATCAAATAAATATTTTTTCAGTGACACCGAGAGAAATATTCTATTTTCATTTATTTGAGACAAATAAAATTTGTTTAAAAGAATTAAAAATTTATTTGTCTCAGTGCCTAATAACTTTTTATTTATTTTCAATAAAAAATTTAACTTACACTGAGAAAAAATTTATTTCATTCAAATAATCGGTTATTTGACTTGTTATCAAATAAATATCAAATAATTATTATTTAAGATGGTATTTGTTTCAAATACAGAAATTATTGTTTCAAGCACAGTTTATTTAATTCAAAAATAAAAATTATTTGGTTTAATTAAATATTTACTTTATAATAGTTAAGTAATTAATTATTTGAATCACATTTTTTTTTAGTAGCAAAAAGTATCAGTTTTTGTGTAGCACAAATAAAATTTAATTTTTTCATTATTAGTTATTATTATTTATTTATTAAACATTTATTTTTTAAATATAGAAGATGTTGCAATGAAATTTCGTACTGATTCAATTTTTTCCAGAGTTAATAAATTACAAAAATAAAATCGAAACAAAAATTACCCCGAAAAAACAAGAATAAAATAAAACAGAATTAATGAATTAGAAAAAAAGGGGGGAAAAATAAAAATTTAGCTTCCTTAATTCTTCATTATATTATTTTGTCCTTTTTCCATTATTCTATAGGGGCTTTTATTTTCTACCATTTTTTTTTTATTTTTGCCCGGGATAAGGCTAAAGTAATTTCTCTTTCTTTGATTGTGTAGCGCACTATAACTACAACACAACTATATATATAGAAGTGATTGCGCGAGAGCGAAATGCAGTGGTTAATCCATAGAGAAAGAGAGAGAAAAAAAAAATATATATATATATAAAATCGTCAGACTGCTCTGAGATAATCGTCACTCGACAATTGCTCACTGTAGAGAGGACGACTTTTTAAAGAGCTGACACAGGTTATATCGAACGATGCCATAAAAAGCAAAGTTGTTATACGACTCGCTTCGAATGATGGCCACCCGAAGACGAGATAAGAGAAAATCAACGCGGACAAGGGGGAAAACTTCATTCTAACACCTTATCCAGTGCCATTTTCCCAATCTAATTTTCGATTTTCCTTAGGGAAATTTCACCTCGCACATGTATATATTACACACGTAACATAGTTTTCACTTCTAAAAGATCAAAGAACTATGATCGAATTCTATTTTTTTATATCTCCGATTTTTTTAAATCACAATAAAAAAAAATTATTTCATTCCAATACTAATTTTCTTATTAAATAAATATTTACCTGGACCAATAAATTTTTATTTGAATTTAATAAACTGTAATCAATAATTTCTGTGTATGAAACAAATATACCAAAAATTATTTAAATAAATATTTACCTGGACCAAATAATTTTTATTTGAATTTAATAAACTGTAATCAATAATTTCTCTGTATAAAACAAATATACCAAAAATTATTTAAATAAATAATTTGATATATAATAGTCAAGTAATCGATTTATTTGTATCAAATAATTTTTTTTCTTATATCTAATAATTATTTGAAAAAAATTTTATTTTTACTTTTACATATTTTTGTCAAAAAAAAAAAATCTGAAACCAAAAAAAAGATTCTAATTTACATGTAATCGTTTCAGTTGGAAGCAATGTAAACGAGCCACCAGTTTTGGCAGCAGGTGGATATCCAATGGGATTGACACTTCCCGAGTCAACACCTGTCGGAACCAAGGTCTTCACATTAAAAGCACACGATCCAGAGGGTTCACCTGTCAAGTATGGAATTCAGTTAACTGACAAGTTTATCGTTAATCCACAAACTGGCGTTATATCTCTCGCCAAACCACTTAATCGTGAGGTGAGAATAATTCTTCTATATATATATGATTTGAAAATTGAAAAATTTATATTCATTTGACGTTATAAAAAAAAAATTTCGGTATTTAACATTTTTAAGATATTCCCTCGGGAATACTATGATAATATTTTCAAGAATTTTCTCTAGAAAAAATGTATGGGTCACTTTTTGAATGGACCAACAGAATCCGAGCTACGATGGACCAAAAGTCGAAAAAATTTCAATTTTCGATATCAAGTCTCGAGAATAACAGGAAATTTATGCCCAGATAGTATTCTACAAAATATCTATTGGATGCTTTTTGAATGGACCAACAGCATCCGAGTTACGATGGACCAAAGTGAAAAAAATTTCGAAATTTTCAAGATAAAGTCTCGGGAACATCGGGAGGGTTATCCCCAGATAGTGCTCTAGTAAAAAAAATATATATATAAAGCACTTTTTCAATGGACCAACAGCATCCGAGCTAAAATGGACCAAAAATCTCAAATTTTCAAAATAAAGTCTCGGGAATAAGAGGAAATTTATCCCAAGATGGTGCTCTACAAAAAAATGTTTTGGACTATTTTTAAATGGACCAACAGCATCCGAGTTAGAATGGACCAAAAGTGGACCGTCAGCTTTCGAGCTACGATGGACCGAAAGTCAAAAAAATTTCAATTTTCGATATCAAGTCTCGAGAATAAGAGGAAATTTATCCCAAGATGGTGCTCTACAAAAAAATGTTTTGGACTATTTTTAAATGGACCAACAGCATCCGAGTTAGAATGGACCAAAAGTGGACCGTCAGCTTTCGAGCTACGATGGACCGAAAGTCAAAAAAATTTCAATTTTCGATATCAAGTCTCGAGAATAAGAGGAAATTTATCCCAAGATGGTGCTCTACAAAAAAATGTTTTGGACTATTTTTAAATGGACCAAGAGCATCCGAGTTAGAATGGACCAAAAGTGGACTGTCAGCTTCCGAGCTACGATGGACCGAAAGTCGAAAAAATTTCAATTTTCGATATCAAGTCTCGAGAATAAGAGGAAATTTATCCCCAGACAGTATTCTACAAAATATCTATTGGATGCTTTTTAAATGGACCAACAGCATCAGAGCTACGATGGACCAAAGTGGAAACCAAATTTCGAAATTTTCAAAATAAAGTCTCGGGAACATCAGGAGGGTTATCCCCAGATAGTGCTCTAGAAAAAAATATATATAAAGCACTTTTTCAATGGACCAACAGCATCCGAGCTAGAATGAACCAAAAGTCGAAAAAATTTCAATTTTCGATATCAAGTCTCAATAATAAGAGGAAATTTATCCCCAGATGGTATTCTACAAAAAATCTATTAAACGCTTTTTGAATGGACTAACAGCATCCGAGCTACGATGGACCAAACTGGACAAAAAATTTTGAAATTTCAAATTTTCCAAATAGTTTTTCAAGAATACGTGGAAGATATTATCCCCAGAGTTGTAAACAAAAAAAATGTGTGTCTCATTTGTTTAGAGACCTACAGGTCTTGAGCTACTTACTCTCAAATTTTATGAAAAAAATCCGAATTGCAATAATTGCATTAGTCAGTTATTCTTAGTGTTTTTGTTTTTTTTTTGTCAATTTAAATTAAATGAAAACTAAATTTCTTGTTGAAGAGTTAATTAAATTGGGTCACTCATCAAAGCAAATTTCTTGTTTCCTTCCATTAAGAAGTTTAAAGGTAACTTTAAATTTGGTTTAACTTTATCTCATCATTAAATTAACACTCGACTGCTTCCTTGATTAAAATTTTTGGCGTATGTGCGTTAGCAAAAGTTGTTCTTCTCCATCGTGTTTGATGCATAAATATTATTCCAAGAAAAATTAATTTCAAATTTTTAATTCTTCTTGAAATTCATAGAAATTTAAATTTCGCATTGAATTTTCATTTTAATTTTTATTTCGGAAAAGTCGAGGGAAAAGCTTTATGTAATAGAATTTCATGGAATTTCAATATAGGAGATTATTATATTATATTATTTATTTTTCAATCTACTTCTATTATTTGCAAAGTTTTATCCCAACATCCATAAATTCTATTATGTGATATACTTGTATTTTTAGAATGATGAACGTCAATTTAGCTATCTCGTAAAAAAAAAAATTTTTTTTTCTCGAAAAAAAAGAGAGATTTACATTGGAATCAAACCATCGGTTGTATTTTATATTTTATCTCACATTTTACACAAGCAAAAAAAAAAAAAGAGTACTCTCGTCCTATCTCAATTTTAAATGTCATAAATCATTTTGTTTTCGCTCTTGAAATTTGCTTTTTACTTAAAATATACACTATGACATTCGAGTAGAACTTTTAATAATTTACTTTACAATATAAATCATCAATTATTCATCTTTTGTCACATTTTTATTCAACGGAATCTCATTTTTCCTGTATATATTCAGTTTAGCATTGGAAAAAGTTCATTATACTGTAAAATATTTTCAAATTGCATATATGTAAATCATTTTTTTTTTTTAAATATTTTTATAATTTTACATTATTTTGTAAACAATTTGTTTTTTTTTAAATGATAAATAGTAGGGAAAATAGAGATTGGCAATTTTCCTTAAAAAAAAAAAAGAATAATGAAGATTTAATGTATTTTTATTTTTCAAAGAAATGGGGAAACGTGATTTGAGGCGGAAAAGAGAGGCTCAATGCGAATTTATCGTTTCGAGTTTGAGAAAATTAAAAGTTCACTTTGTAGTTTCTGCTATGTAAAGCAATTCACGTTGCCAGGCATGTACACAGGTATTATTGTGTTATTCGCCTTTTCAACTGCGCTACCATCTGGGCCAGACAGGAAGCCGAAGAATGTGGAGCGAATTATCCGACAAATGCGAAAAGAAGAAAGAGAATGAGAAAAAGAGAAATAGAGAGAGAGAGAAGCCAACTGGATCATGTATGATCGCTTCACTTCCGGAAAATCCCGAGCTAACACATATACATATACATATATGTATATGAAATGTCGTGAGATGCGAAATTTGAATATCTGCCAACTTTTTGCATATCTCTCGATTTCAAAAGTTTTGCCTTTTCAAGTTTTTTTTTTTTTTCAAGAATACGGCCAACATGTTAAACTTACAAAGTTCAAGTGGATACTTATTTCCTGTTATTTTCAGTATTTGGAAGTGAATGACAAATTTTTAAATGAATTGTAACCAAAAAATATTTTTATTTAAAAACTAATTAAAAATAAGTTTTCGATTTTTTTTTTTTTTGGTATATAATTTTAATAACATTTTCTATACGATACTCGATAAAAAAAAAAGAAAAGCAATTTTCTCTGATGTCTAAGCATAGAATATCAGATTGCAATTTGTTTATTTTTATCTAAAAGCTTTTATATTGATGAAGAGATCAAATTATAAAAAAAAAAAATTTCTTTCGTCTCTGATTTCAGGAGAATGACACTATCCGATTTCGAGTAACTTTGGAGGATCAAGTTCCTGCTGGACAACAACCAAATATAGTTGGAGTCGATGCATATGTTATTGTTCTCGATGAAAATGATAATCCTCCACAATTTGAAGGCACACCATATGAAGCAGTTGCTGTTGAAGACACACCAGTTAATACAACTATATTACCTGCAATTAAAGTCACTGATCCCGATTTGGTTGGTGAAAACATTGAACTTACATGTATACCACAACCTCAAGTAAGCCACTAATTAATTTCTACTAAAAAATATTTTACTAAAAAAAAAATATTCTACTAAAAATTTCTACATTTTTGAAACGAAATTCCAAATTTCAAATCGAAATAATTCGATAATAAATTTTTATGATCGTAAAATATGAAATGAAATTTGCAAAAATATTCTCGAAAAGTTTTCTGAAGCTTTAAACTTTCGAATTGAAAAATTGATCTTTTTTTTTTGTATACTTTCTGAAAATTGGAAACTTCAAATTCTTTTATATAGCATTTGAAACAGAGATTTTTATTTTATTATACTTTTTTGTTATGAATGAAAATAAAATCTCTTATATTAATTTAAAGAAATTAAATTGAAAATGTAATATAAAGCTCGACAATATAAAAATTAAATTCAAAATTTAGAACTAAAATTAAATATATATAATTAAAATGAAATCAAAGGAGAAAATTTAATTTTAATTAAAATCCAGATGTTAAAATCAAAATATAGGAGGAGATGGAATATGAAAATTCAATTAAATCGTAAACTGAAGTTAATTAAAAATTTAATAAACAGGACTATTATTTGGAAAAAAAAAGTTCAATTTTTTTTTTACGTTTAAATTATTGAAGAAAATCATTTTTTGTTACACGTTTTTATTTGAGAATTTAAGTATAATGAGAAAGTTGAAGTAATGATTCATAAATATGTATGTTATTTGAATATAAGGAATATTTTTTTTTTTTTTTTTTTTTGAAAATATAGAGAAAATTCTTGGCTCTTTCTCTGTCTTTGTTGAAAGAGTGGAAGGATGTGTACGTCTATATCATATCCGCTTGATGAATTCAGCAGGACGTTATACGAGCAATAAAACTGCAAACCCTTTTAAATAACTGTCCGCCGTCTTTATGGCATCACGCTTTACTGTCTCTCTTGCTTTGACAATAACATAGAGATATATCAGTAAAAAGTGATGTGAACTGTATTAAATTTAAGATTACCATTAACCCTATTTTTATACTTTCCACCAACAATTTTCATTAGATTTTTGATTTCTTTCCTTTTTCAACAAATTTTCATTTATTTTTCAATTTTTCTAATAATTAATTTTCTTTTGTTCAATTATTTATTTTTTATTTTATTCATTTATTTTTTCAAAAATACGACTTTTATCGACTTATTTTAATAAAATGCGACATTTTTTTTTACATTTGAAAAAAATTTAAATAAAATACATTTTTTTATTATAAAATGTAGATCTTCTTCAGATCTTCTTCAATTCAATTATTTAACAAATTTTGAACTAAAATGATTCTTCACTAAATTAATTATTTTTAATAATTTTAATGAAATACATCATAAATTCAATTATATCAAAATTATTTTTTAATTAAAATTTTTATGAAATTTAACAATTGTTTATAATTTAAAAAAAAAATATCACAATAAAATTGAATTATTATTTAAAAATTTCAATTCAAAATAAACTAAAATTCTATTATTACCCGAAATTTTAATTCAAAATCAATTAAAAATCCAATAATTATCCAAAATTTTCAATTTAAAATTTAATTATTTACCAAGTTTTCAATTTAAAATGAAATAAAATTCAATTATTTTCTAAAATTTCTATTCAAAATTAATTAATCTGAAACGATTTTTCAATTAAAAATGATTTTCAAATTATTGTATTTTGTCCGCATTTTCTAATAAATTTTTAGTGAAATCATCTAAAATTTTAATTAAAAATCACTTAAAGTTTCAATTAATTTCAAAAATCTCAATTTTAAATCTTTGAAAATTCAATTAAATTTAAAAAATGTTTTCCAAAAATTGTTTGATAAATTATTTTTAGTTCTGTAAAATTTAATAATTGTTTGAAAATTAACAATATCTTTTGAAATTTAATTATTTCTAAAAATTTCAACTTTAACCCTTCGAAAAGGATTATTATTAAAAAAAAAATTTTATTTAAAAATCTGTAAAATATTTTTGTTAAAATAAAAAACAAATCCACTTTTTTTTGGAATATAAATCAACTAAAACGACTTTTTTGTGTCTTTAAGTTGATTCGAGGCCTGTGTTTTTATAATTAATATTTAATAGGTAATCGTTGGCCCCTGGTACCTTAAAAATTAATTTTTAAAAATAAATTTTTTTCAAATTACTATCTTGTACGAAATTTCCTGGCGCATTTTTTTTCTCATCATAAATTTTTTGTATTTGTATACAATTTTTGAATCAATATACAACTTTAAAAAAAATTTCGTTGGTAAACGAATTTTCGAATTTGGAATTTTAAAGAAACTTATTCCGAAATTTGGAAACACAATTATACAACTTTGGCAAAAATGAGAAAAAGAATTGTCAAAATTTGACACGTCATAAGATTACTATTCAAAAAAACACGTGAAATCAGAAAAGGCCAACTTCAAGTTAGGACAGAAGGACAGACCAAGCATTTTATTATTATATAATAATAATTGTTCATTTATTATTAAATTTTTATTATTACTTTTCTTCATTTTTCTAAATCGAGCCAATAAACATGGAATCAAGAAAATAGTCAATAGAATATCAAGTAAACCTAGTCAAGCAAATAAAATGAATAAAATTGAATTAAATCAATAAAAATGACTTTGGCAAATAAAATGATGATTTAAACAAATAAAATAAATTAAGTCAATGAAAGCAAGTAAATGATCCATACAAAAATCGATAAATACAAAATGAATCAATAAAATAAATTCAGAAATTAGATTTTTATTTTTTTTTTTTTGCCAAATAGTTGAAAATTGAAAAACTAATTCAAGAAGTATAAAATATTAAAATAATTCAAAACCTACGCAAAAATAAAAAAACAAATTTGGAAAATAAATTCATAAAATAATATAATTTAATATAAAAAAAATATATATCTCGATGTATAGAGTGTGAAAACAATATTTCATTCCCTTTGAAAAAAAGGGGATGAAGAGGAAAAGTTATACTTGAAAACTTGTGAAACTTTATTGAACTTCGATATGTTACAGTTTCCCGATGCTTGTGTAAAGTTTGGAATTAAAGATGTGGAGAAAAGCGAGAACATGTACGTGGGTGCTCTGGTTTTGCGACAGCCTCTTGACTACAAAGAGAGACCTTTCTACCAGCTGCTTCTCATGGCGAGCGTGAGTGGAACTAGAAAATTGATATAAATTACGAGAGACTGTTTCTTCTTCTTCCTTCTTAGTATATATATACATAGAAAATTCTTCGTCTCAGACGGTTGCGTATATGTAAACGAGCAGCAGAACTAATTAATACTCATAATATACTCAGAAACACTAATTGCTATCACAAACTTTGCTTTTTGGTCTCTTTGCGCGTATTTCTCATAGAATAAAAAAAAAAATCCTACTTCATTTGCATCCTCTTCGCGAGTACATATAGTCAAAATTATTTACTTAATTTACTTTATCAAAAAAAAAAATTTCTACTGAAAGTAAATATTCTGAAAAATTCTCTTTCATGTCTGACGAAAATTGTTTTATTGAAAATTTCGTTATGTAGGAAATAGTTTTCAAGAGTCGAGAATTTTAATTATTTATCTATATTTAAAACTTCTTTTTTTGCTTAGAATTTTTTTTTTTATTTTAGGATTTTAATTTTTAAAAACTACTTTTTTTGCTTGAAACATTTTTCTGATAGTATTGAAACATTTTTTTTTTTTTTTTTGTAAAAATTTAGGATGGATTGAATAATAAAACAACGGGTGTCGAGATCAAAGTGGCGGATATTCAAAATAGCCCACCGGAATTTTTGGATTCTCTCACTGGAGTTGTTCGTGAAGATGATCCCATTGGCACTTTGGTCATGACAGTAAAAGCTAGAGACGGCGACAGAGGGATGCCGAGAAAGATCTTTTATGAGCTCGTCACAAGTAAGTGGCATTTAAAAATCTTTGTTGTCATATATACGATTCTTGTTTTTTTTATCTTTGTAACTGTTTTTGTCTTAAAACGATAAAATTTACGATATTTCTTTCATTAAAATGATATATAAAAGTGTCATTATTTTCTAGAATATTTTTTTTTATTCATAAAAATAAAATTTCAATGAAAGAAAAAATTAGAAATTTTATTTTAATATACGTTCTGCAGATCCATTTGATTACTTCCTGTTGGATCCAGTGAGTGGTGAATTGAGAACAGCCAAACCACTGGATAGAGAGGCTTTGCAGGATTCGACTGGTGTTCTGACGTTGACGGTTAAGGCACGAGAGGTAATCGACGGAGTGCCAGGAAACGATGCGTCGACAGTTTCGACGGCGGAAGCCACTGTGACCATCAAAGATGTCAATGATGAACCACCTTCCTTCAATCAGCGCGAGTACAACATTGAAATTCCCGAGAATGTTCCCGATGGCACTCCACTTCCACATTTGGACATGACTGTCAAGGATCCTGACGTGGTAAGGAAAATTTATTTTAATTCTATTTTCCTTTTTTTATTTATTTATTTTTTTTACTTCTTTTTTGATTTAACTTCATTTTTCATTTTTCAGGGATCGAATTCTGTATTTTCCTTGGAATTAGAAGATATAACCGGTGCATTTGCTGTTGAGCCGACCCAAGCGACCGGAAGTACCTCGGTCAATATACGTGTGACCAACGGCTCCCTAGACTACGAGAATCCTAACCAGAGGAAGTTTATCATTCTGGTGGGTAACTTGTAATATAATTACTTCACGCCGCTGGCTAAACTTGATTCCCTCTCTCTCTCTCTGTTTCTATTTCAAGGGATGAAATTGAGAAAAAAAAAGTTGTTATTTGGTTTTCTTGACTTGCATATACAGTAGAATTAAATTTGCTCTTTTCTTTAAAAGATCGTTAAAATAACCGATTTTCATTTCCATTTATTTGCTTAATTCTTTTTTGCAGGTGATTGCAAGAGAGGTCCACACTAATCCAAAGCTATCATCGACTGCAACCGTGACCGTCAGCATTATCGATGCTAACGACAACGCGCCTTCATTTGCAAGTCCAACCTACACGGCCCTTGTTTCTGAAACTGCGACCCCGGGTAGTTCAATTGCAACAATTACTGCTAAAGATCGTGATAGTGGACGGTATGTGAATATTTGCTATTTGAATTTTCATTTTATTTATTCACATTTTTTTCTTAATTTCGATTTTTAAATCGATTCACAGAAATTAAGTATGAAATTGTAAATAAAACAAAATTGTACTAAAATCAGATTTTTTAGTTTAAAAAACGAAAATTTAAAATTAAAACAAGTTTTATAATTATTTTATAATAACTAGAAATAAATAACTATTTATTATATTTAATTTTTTTGGTTTTTGAAAATTTACAGATTTGGTGTTGCGGGAATTATTTATCAATTAATTGGTCAAGGTGCTGAACATTTTGCAGTGGATAAAAAAACTGGTAGTATTACCGTCGCGGCTTGTCCTACACCTGGAACTTCACCCTGTCTCGATTTTGAAGAACAATCCGAGTACTTCCTAAATTACAAGGTAAGTAATTTTCTCTACAATAATGCAAAATAATTTAAAACGTTAACTTTTTTTTTAATTTAATTTTTAATTTTAAATATTTTAATTTTTAAATATAAATTGTATACAGAACTAAAACAATTTATTAAATTTTTTTTTCCAAATCAAATCATAAACAATAAATTATATCTACTATTTAAAAATAGTTTTCAATTAAAAAAAATTAAAAATATAGCTTTATCTCAATATTTTTCATATTTTTGTACAATTAATTATTTGAGTCAAGTTTTTGGATGTTCAATTTGTTATTTAAATTGAATTTGAAATTTCATTTTCAAACAGGCAACAGATGACGATGGCAAGGGTCAAACGACAAGTGTCTCGTTGAAAATTGCTCTCTCGGATGCAAATGACAGTCCACCGCATTTTTTACAAAATAAATATCGTGCTGTAGTGGATGAGGGCGCTGAGAAATTTGAACCCGAACTAAAAGTTCAAGCACGTGACAAAGACAAGACATCAAAATTAACTTATTCGCTAATCGATGGCAATAATATGGGTCTTTTTAGCATTGATTCAGACACTGGTGTAATTACAATTGCGAATAAAGGCCCTGTTGATATTACAAATTCAAGTCACGATTGGATTGCACTTACAGTACGAGTGAGTGACGGTACATTCACCGATAATACAACTGTTAATATTACAATTCGTGATGTTAACAATAATTCACCTGTATTTCCACATGATCTTTATACAGCCAGTATACCCGAATTATCATCACCAGGTAGGTGGAGAAATTTTTTTTTTTTTTTTTTTTTCTGTATAATATTTTTTCTCTATGAAAAATTAATTATTTCAGGAACTATTGTTGAGGAAATGCAAGCAACAGACGCTGACAGTGGTATAAATGCGGAGCTAACGTATAGAATTCAGAAAGGTGCTTTTGATGATTTTGCCATTAATGAAACCACGGGAATCGTTACTGTTTCACGAAAATTGGATTACGATGAAAGAAATACTTATCATGTTGAAGTGATTGCTTTTGACAGTGGTAATTATATTTCCATTTAATTAAAACTAAATTTAATTTAATTCGAAAAGCTAAAATCAATTCTGGATTAGATTTGCAAATTTGAGTTTATAATTTTTTAGGAACGCCGAGTTTAACAGGAACGACAACATTAATGATCCATGTGGAGAATAGTAATGACAAATCACCATATTTTACGCCTGAAATTCAAAGAGCCGAAGTAACTGAAGACACGGCAATTGGAACTGTTTTCACAACTTTAAAAGCAACTGATCCCGATAGTCCAAAACCTGAGGCATTGAATTTTGCTATCTCTGAACCAATAACGGCCATTGATCGTAATGGACAACAAGTTAATGGTAGTATAGTTGCGTTTAAAGAATTTTTTGCCATTGATAAGAAAACGGGTCAGGTCTCAGTTGTGAAACCATTGGATCGTGATATTGCGGCAACTGTCAGTGTTAATATTGTTGTTACTGATATAACGGCTCCCAGTTTACAACAAGGTAAAGGCACATTGATAATCACCATTATTGATGTGAATCATTTGCCACCGGAGTTTGGCAAGCCATGGACAAAAGAGCATCCCTATTATTCCATTGAGATGCAAGAGGAACAACCGACTGGAGCCGTTGTTGGCGCATTCACTGCAACTGATGCCGACAGCAATATCGCTGGTTACAGTATTGAACCGCCGAGTCCGTATTTTAACATTGATAACGTTACCGGTGAGTTGATTTTGATAGAAGAGAACGAATTTTGAAAATTATTTTTTAATGTAATTTAATTTTTACAGGAATAGTAAGAACGAGTCAGCGTATTGATTATGAGGAAACAAAACAACTTGAATTCACAGTTGTTGCTTATGATTCGGGCGTTCCGCAACTTTCTTCATCGGCGAAAGTTACCGTCTCAGTTATAAATGTAAACGATCAGGATCCAATTTTTGAACAACAAATTTATAATGCTTCGGTTAAAGAAAATTCACCACCTGGAACTCATGTGGCTGTTGTTAAGGCTATTGATGCCGATGAGGGACCATTTGGACACGTTAGTTACAGTCTAATTGGAGAACATGCATCTGATTTCAATATTGGTAGGAAAAAAAAAAATTAGAATTATAATTAAAAATTATTTATTTAAAAATGTTAATAATTTTTTCAATATTTTATTTAAGGTCATGAAACTGGAGAGATAACAGTGGGTGCGGCAACAGTTCTTGATCGTGAAATAGTACCGGAAATTACAATAACCGTGATGGCAAGTGATGATGCACCTATCGATTCAAGAAGATCGACAACAGGAACTGTTGTTGTTAAATTGATAGACGTTAATGATAATCGGCCTATTTTTACACAACACAGTTATAGAGCGTCGGTGGCAGAGAATCTTCCTGTTAATCCACCTGCTCCGATACTTCAGGTAAAAATTAATAAGTGAATTTTTTTTTTTATGATTATTAAATTTATTTTCATTCTTTAGGTTCGAGCCGTTGATAATGATGAGAGTTTAAATGGTGAAGTTTGGTACACAATAATAGACGGTAACAAAGATCATTCGTTCACTTTAAATCCAGAAACGGGAATTTTATATCCAGCCGTGTCATTATCGGGAAGAACTGGTACTTATAGAATTGAAGTTGAATCCCGTGATGGTGCCGGAAAAGGACCACATTCTGACAGATGTTCCGTTGATATTCGAGTAATATCAGTGAATCAACACAAGCCAGAATTTATATTACCGGAATTGACAAATGCAACTGTTGAAGTTCCCGAGGTGAGAATAAATATTTAGAAACAAATATTTAGAAATTAAAACAAAAATATAATGAAATATTATTTTAGAATGCCGGTGTGCCGAACTATCTTGTTATGACAGTAAAAGCAACCGATAAAGATTCCGGCGAGAATGGAAAGATCAGTTATCATTTGAAAGTTGGAAATAAAAATGTTCAAGAAACGGAGGAATTTGTTATTAATGAAGAGACTGGAGAGTTGCGAGCGAAAATAATTCTCGATCGGGAAATTAAAAGCAAATTTGAGGTGAGAATCTTAATATTCTGATGTTGTAATTGCATAATAATGATAAATAAATTTTTTTTTAAAGCTCGTACTAGTAGCAACCGATCATGGTAATCCAACGGCCTACGAAACATTACGTTTATTGACAATATTACTAGTCGACACCAACGACAATGTTCCCGAATTTGAAGATAGTTATTCATTTAATGTGCCAGAAAATAGACCAAAGGATTATTTTGTTGGCAAAGTTGTAGCCGAGGACAAAGACGAAGGCCGACACGCTAAAGTTTACTACTACATCGTAACTGGTGAGATTTTTTCCAAAGAATCAAAATTCAAATTACATAATTTCTTATTTTATATTTAATTTTATTTAAAATTTTGATTTTATATTTTATTTTAAATTTTATATTATATTTTTTTTTGTTGATATTTCAGGAAACATGGATTATGCATTTTATATTGACAAATCTGACGGAAGTATCTATACGAACAAATCCTTTGATCGTGAAAAGCGTGATAGTTATGTGCTTTCAATTCTCGCAGCGAATGATCCAGATCTTTATATTGATTCACGTGCAACACATCATCCGAATAAAAATCCCGAGCATGGACATACAAATGTGACAATAGCCATTCTTGACGAGAATGATAATCCGCCCGTCTTTGAACGTAGCGATTATTATGCTGGAATTAATTCAATGGCAAATATCAAAGAGCCAGTTGCAAAAGTTACAGCAACGGATTTTGATCTCGGTGATAATGGAACACTTCAATATTACGTAGTTGGAGCAAATCTCTATAAATACGGATCAGAAAGATCAAGTGGCTCTATTGTGCCAAGTCCATTTAATGTAACTCAAGAGGGAAAATTGGAGACAAGCGGATATATGGCCGAATATAATCAGGACCGATTTATTGTTGAGGTTGTTGCCAAGGAAACTGCATCGCCTGAACGATTTGCGACTACCAAAGTTCATGTGAGTAAATTTATTTATTGATTTCATTTTTATTGTGTTTTAATTTTAATAGTTTAAATATTTTAAATAAAAAAAAAATTGGGATTTTAAATGCAGGTTTGGGTTTTTGAGCCTTCACAATTAATACGAGTGATTTTATCTCGACCACCGGCCGAAGTTCATCGACAACGAGATGAAATTGTCGCTGAATTGTCAAATGCAACACAAAGTCGAGTTGTTGTTGATGATATTAGATACCATGTGGACAGTTCGGGACATATTCAAACAGATTGGTGAGTTATTGAAAGAAATTTTTTGATCAATCAAATAGCAATTTAAACATCGTTGCACTAAAATGAAAATTTAAATTCGTGAAAAAAATATTTTTTTAAAAATAAATAAAAAATTTTTGTTAAACTCGAAATATTTTTAATTCAAGGTGTGATATGTACTTGCACGTTGTGAATCCAAAGACACAGACAATATTTCCCATTTCACATGTGTTGAAAGTAATTGATGCTAAATACGATTTTCTCAAGGATTATTACGCTGGATTTGCAATTGTCAATGTTGTGGTGAGAATCAAAAGAATTTAATAATAAATTTAAAATATTCAGAAAGGTTATTCTCAAAAAAATGTTTTCAATTTTATAATTAATAAAAATTAAGGGCAAAAAAAATTATCGAATTTTCTTTTAATAGCCGGCTTATGCAGGAGTTCAGGAAGAACCATTCGATCCAGCTTTAGCAGCTTTAATTGCTCTTCTCGTAGTTCTTTTAGTCGGTGCCGTTACTGTCACAGTTGTTTGCTGTTGCTTAAAACACTGGTAAATAATTGATAATTAATTAGTTCTTAACATTATAGATTAATTATTACTCATCAATTATTATTTTAAATTATTTAAATTTAACAAATTATTTATGAAATTAAATTTGTAGGGTTATCACCGTTCCGAATGACATCAGAAAGAAAGATGGTTTGATTAAAAAACAAATTATAGATGAATTAAACACAACGGAAAATCCCTTGTGGATCGAACAGTGAGTCATTTATTTTCTAATAAATATTTAAATAATATTATTTGTTTTAATGCTTAATTTATGTATTTTATTTTATTATATTATTATTTAAGAAATAATAAATTTTGTTAATAATTTAAAAGAATGTGAGTTAAATTTATTTACACTGAATATATTTTTTTTTAGAAAATTAAAATTGTACGAGGAACAGGAATTGACGATGCAGGTCTTTAGTGAACCGGAAGGAGGCCTAAGCACTGAAAGGCGAGGAAGCAATGTAAGTATTGGTATGGGCGATACATCTCAAGACAATACTTATGCGACAATTCAACATCCACTGCCAAATAGACGTCGTCCCACGACTCCTGATTACACAACTTTGCCCGGAAATCGTAATGTGAGTCACGTACTTTAATTTTTCTAATTACATTATTAATATTACCAATTATACTATTAGTAATAATAAATCTATTAGTTTTTAATTTTAATTATTAGTAATTAAATTTTATTCCACTGGAATTTATTTATTAATTTAATTTGAAATAAATATGAATAAACTAAAGAAATACCTTTATTTTAGATGTACGAAGCAGCGATGGGTTTTCAAGGTTCTACATTTCAACCATCGGCAAACGTGATGCCACAATTAACACTCGATCGCGATGGACAGCCTCAATTTGTTTCCGGTCTTGTGTGAAAAGCTTTTTTATTCAATTGTCTCCATTTTGGGGGGACGCTTTCAATTCTTCTTCCTCTTTTTTCGTATACGTTTTACGAAAAAAAAAAAAACAACAAAAAGAAACAAAACGACTGCATTTACACGGATGTGCCACTTTGACAATAACCGGGTAGTATGGTTAATCTTCCGTGTAAGTACTCGCGTTCAATTATACATTTTTTTTTTATTATTCCATATTAGTGACAATTTAGATTTTTTTTTCTGAATATTATTTTTTATCTAATTTTCTCTCACGGGACTGAGTTTCCAAGAAGAAGGAAGTAGTTTTTTTTTATAGAATACTCTTTTTTATCAGATCAAAAAAAAAAAAAATTAGTTTTATATTTTTTTTCTAATAAAACTTTTGTTTTATTAGACGATCAATGCTTTATCTAATTTTCATATTGAATATATATTAAAGCATGTTATGAAATTAAATTAATTGATTAATTAAAAAAAATTAAATTGAAATTAATTATTGAATGTTAATACAATGAAATAATCGTAGTAATAATAGAATGTCATTATACACTTTTTATACGAGATCATGAAACTTGTCATTTTAAGCGGAAGGCAAAAATGAAAGTGAACTCGAACTGAGAATGAAAAAAAAAAAAAAAAACAGTTGATATTATTATTGAAATCATAAGTATACATTCCTTATAGCCAATATTATGTACATGTATATATGTGTACGATGACAAACTAAAGTTTAAGGGGAAAAATAAATGAAACAAGTAGCAAAATGCTCAAAGTACAGTATTCAGAAAACAGAAGCTTGGCACGACAAATATATGTATACAAAATTGTCTCAGTAACTGATTTCTCACTGGCACAAGTTTTTAAAATTTTTTTCTTCAAAATTATAATTTACTATCAAGTATTTTCATTTTCATTAAGAATTTTGCAAAACTTTTTGTGAAAATAAATTATAATTAGATCTCAGTTATAATTATAATTACACAATTGTAATTGTCGAGAAAGAAATAGAAAATTGGCAAGTGAATGAGAAGAAACAAAAAAAAGCTGCACTAGAAATATTAAATTCGCACAAAACAAAAAAAAGAGAAATTTCTTCTCGTTTACTTGTATTTGTTTTTAGTTTTTTGAAATTTGCATCCCTGAGACGATAATCAGTTACTCGTGGCTCCAGTATAGTTAAATGTGTAGATTCCGTCCAGCCCATTTCTATTTAACAATTATTTTCTCGTTATATATATATTTGTAAATTTTTAAATATTATTATTATTATTATATATATTTAAAGGTTTGCACATTTTTTTGTAAACGAAACAAAAAAAATATATACATATATTTTAATCTAAGTTACGTTTTAACAAATGTCTGCAGTTTATCACTGCCGAGATTGGGAAAAAAAAAAAAAATATCGTTAGTCGTTATGTATAATAAGTTTTAAGTTGAATATTAAAGATTCAACGTCTGTTTTTAACCTGACAAAAAAAAAATCTGTGATTGAATCTTATTAAGAAACATAATTAATTGTTAATTTAAATTGAATCTATGGGTGAGATGATGGGCGGACATAGTCATATCATAGATAAGTAAAAAAAACAAGGATGTCGTTCGCAATGAATCTCGAGTGCTTACATTTTTTTTTTGTCACGAGAGAGAAAGAGAGAGAAAGTTAAGACGATTTCGCTGTATCCAAAATCAAACGGGAAAAAACTTTTTTTTTTTTTAATATTAAATATTTTTTTTAAGTTTCTCACTTGTGCCGTCCCCGTTCAAAAAGCGATTCGCTTTATAAAAAGGTTAACTGCGAACGGCTTTCACCGTACGAATAGCTCATACTCGAATAAATAAACACGATCATCTATAAATGCATTTAGTACAATCCATTGTCATTAATATTATTGTTAGATGGTTATCATTATCATCGGTAGTGTGACGACATTGTCTGTTTCTTCATCATGAACTGATTGTAATATTGTAACATATTTTATGTAAGCGATTAATATAAAAATATTCATACACTGTAAAAAAAGTATTTTCTATCATTTTACCAATAGGGTGATTCTCTCAAAAAGGACAAATTACGCTTTTAAGATATTTTGTTAAAAAATATGAAAATTAATTGAAATTATTTAAAATTGTGTCAGCCATACTTTAGGATTTAACAATTTTCAATCGGACCACTAAAGAAAATTTTAAAAAAAGGTAAAATAACTGAAATATTAAATAAAAACTGATGTTACGGAATGGAGTTTTAACACTAGTTTTCATTCAATAATTCAGTTGTTTGCCATTTTTTTGAAATTTTCTTTAGTGATCCCATAAAAATTTGTTGAATTTTATCGTATGGCTGGGAGAATGTTTATTAATTGAAATTAATGTTATTATTTTTTAACAAAAACCTCGTCCAAAAATTGTGCACAAATAATTTGTTCTTTTTGAGAGAATCACCCAATAATCTTTTGTTTTCATTTTTCAAAATTGGAAAAATAATTATACGAAGAATTTTTTTAAATTTGTTTATTTGTAATTCATTATAAATTATAATATGAATAATTTGTTAATAACAAATGTTTTGTATTTTTCTTCTACTGATTTTTAAATAATAATAATCTTAATATTTAATTAAATCAAAACACCGGTTCTTTAAAAGTATTAACTTTTAAAGAACCGGTGTTAAGAAAACAGAATATAAATTGTAGACATTATTTTTTTTTTTAGAGTTTTGAACGATAAAATTTAATAGAAGAAAATAATTTCTAATTTCTATTTTTTCTGAAGTGTATCATTTGCTTCTTTTTCCTTTAATGTTGTATTGGTTTCTTTTTTGATTTCTTTTGCAGAAATAGATTCGTTTTGAGATTTTTTTGGAGCGTAATCAAAAACACATTTCACAGCTTCCGGCTGATCCCACCAAAGTTTATATCCTTTTTTTGATGGAATTTTTCTATTATTTCCACAAGCCAAACAAGTCCACTTTATTGCTTTTGTGGGTTTTGATATTAAACGAACACGTGCTGTTTTGCCAGGAATAAGCGGAGATTGACAACGTTTACAAATTGTCCTTTTTACAGCTGGTTCCCTAAAATAGTACATGATTAAAAAAAAAATTTTTAATAACAAACGTTAACAAAAAAAAAGGTGTACTTACATTCGCAGTACTGCTTTCTTTGCACAGCCAACCACCAAGGAGCCATATTGTGAAGCCAGTGGTAAGTTTTTATTTACAATATTTTGACTCGCCTGAAAAATATTTTATTTATTTAGTTTTTATTCCATATAAGAGTATAATAACAGAGAGAAAAATAATGTTTACCTGATACAAATAATTCATTCGTTCGAAAACATCTTTTCCTTGACAATGCTTAGTTTCTTTTTCTGCAAATAATATTATAAACAAAATTTGTAGTTTCAAAATTATTTCAAAAACATTTTTAATTTCATCCATAAAACTAACCTCAAATTGAAACAAAAAAATTATATTTCTCTAGGTATTTATTATATTTATTTGTAAAATATGTAAACTTACCCATTATCAGAATAAATATTAATTCATTTTATTTTTGCATAATGCAATTAAACTTAAATATATTATTAATTTGTTTAATATTTGTAAGCACGCACGCAGTCACATCACACTGAAGTGAACGCTTATTTTGAGGTTATGTTTGCCAAACGCCAAAAAAGTTATAATGGACAAAAGATTTTAAAATTTAATTTAATAAAATCAATTATTAAAACTATGCTTATATTTTTTTAAATTAAAATTTTATTTTAATAACATTGAAAATACAATTATATAAATATTTACAATATCCCTAGAATAAAAAATATTCAATTTATCTACAAATCCTTACAATATCGAGATAAAACAGGTGGAGTTGGTCTAGCTGTTTTGCTTATTCTACTTGTATGAAGCATTTGTGTTAAAGGAGTTAAAAATTCGTCTTTTACAAATTCATTTTTAATTTTTCTTTCCGTTGGCGTTGATGCATCAAATTGTTTTAATTTTGATTTCCACGGAATATATGGCGTTGATTCCACGTATGGATTTTCAGAATTTTTTATACTTATATTTTCACATTCAGAATTGCTAAAAATAAAATAAAGTTAAAAGCATTTTTTTTTCGTAAATAAATAAATTGATATAGATATAAATTAACATACCTGAAATTTTCTACTTCCTCTTTTGGTGAAACATAACCATTTTCAACAAAAAGAGTTTCTATATCCGAACATTGTTGCATTAAATCATCGCATATACTCCTGGAATCGTTTATAAATTGTCGCATTTCCTCTAAATTCTTTTTACTTTCTGTCACATCATTTTCTACATTTTTCTGTTATACAAAACAAAATGATTAATTTTTAAATTCAATTCGAGATTCAAAGTAGGTTAAATAATTTATTTCTTACTTTTAATTCAATGACAGTTTTTAATATCGTTTCAGTTGCTTCATGTGCTTTTGCAGTTTCTTGTAAATTTTCTTTATTGCCAGCATTAACTGCATATCTAAAGTGCCCACCAATATGAATATGCGGAGCACTCCAAATTTCACTTAAATTATTAATTCCATCATCTAACATTCGTCCTCTCTCCTTCAATTTATAAAAGTAATCAGCCATTTAGAATTTGTTTAAAAAATAATAATCACTTTGCACTATTACAATAATTAATTAATAAAAAGGAAAATAAATAGTAGGTACTTGTTTTGTTGTTATAGAATGCAGCCTTCTGCTTTAACTGTCAAATTATTCAAACAAACTCTGAAGTTAGTCACTAGTGACTGCACCATGATATTTGTCCACCAATCAGAAAATAGAAAAATTAATAATGGCGCATACGCGTAAGTTTATTTTTCATTGGTTGAATTATTACCACACTTTTTTAAAATTAATATTTAATTTTTTTAAATTATTTAATTCTAAATAAAATAATTTAATAAATATAATATTTTTATTTAAATTGTTTTTGTTAATAAATGTTAAGCTTTATAAACAAAAATTACTGAAAAGTACAAGTTTAGAATTTGAAAAAATTTATTTTCTAAACTAATAACAGAAATTAAATGACAAACTATGAATCATTATTTTTGTTTAACAATAATTGACCTTTTGGTTTTAATTTGTTGCGTAAAATTTCATCTCTCTCTTTTTTCTTTTCCTCTATTAATCTATTGTATCGTTCGACAGCATAATCAACTTCTCCAACTAATTTCACAATTTTAGCCTAAAAAAAATGTTTAGTTAATAAAAATTGATTAATTTTCAATAGTATAACAAAATAAAGTAAATGGAAAATATTTACAGCGTATTCGCGATTTTTAACTAATTTTCTGTTTTGATTGACACCTAAGGGAACTGGTCTTCCATCCTTAAATGAATAATCGGGTAAATTTGTTAAAGGACCAAATCCATTTGGATTCGTTGTTAAGCGTCTCCTAAAAACAAAAAAAAAACAATTAAACAAATTATAACCAATAAATCTTAATTATAAGTACAATTTAATTTTTTTTAAACTTACTCTCTTCTCCATTTTTGATCAATGCATGAAACAGAAGAAGTTTTAAATCCTTTCACTAAAATGTTGAGATCTAAAAATGATAAAATATATTTCTCGTATTCTTTTATTTTAAAGTAATTTAATTTAATAACGCATTACATTGTAAAATGAATTAAAAAACTAACCTGTTCGAGTACAATGTGTAATACTTTTAAAAAGTGCCATTCCGTTTGTTTTTTTTTTTGTATTTTTACACTAATATCTTTATTTATCAGATGTTTTCAATTTTTAAGAATGATAATAACTTTTACATATTATAAATAAATAATAGTTCAATAATGAAAAATACAGCACTTCAAGTTGTCAATAGAGAATTTTAGGTTATGTTTATATTTATCACAAAATCAAAATATTAAAAATTTCAAACGATATAATAAAATTTTTGTTAAAATACAATATAGAATTAAATTAGTACAAACAACTAAATAAACAACTAATCAAAATATAAACAATTAAATATTATAATTAAAAACAAAATTTCTCTGGTGGTTGTTTTTTGTATTATAGAATATTGCTCAGTCGATAATAGTCGCATGTGTTATGTTGTGAACATTGGTGGAGGCTACTTCTTCTTTGCAAAAATCTTTTAAGAAAACTATCGGTTTTTATAAAAGAAAAATATATTTATGTGAAGAACAATAAGAAAACGATGGTTTCGGTAATGCAGCCATTTATGGTAAGTTAAAAACAATTTCTCACGAATGACAAATTAAAATCAGTTCTCTTGACACCTTTGAGATTTGACAATTTTACATTTTATAATATAAAAAGAGATTTTTATCAATTTATTTAATCTTCATTTACAGGATGTTGAAAGCTCAAGAAGTTACATCGATGAACTTTACTCCGTTGATCCACAAAAGTGTCTTGATGCTCTTGTGTAAGTGTTAAACCTCTTATATGAAATGTACATAACCTCAAAAAAAAAAAAAATTTTTTGCGCAATCTTTGCAATATTAACATTATTAATTAGAAATAAAATTATTTTTTAATTTTTCTCACTAGTATTTTTAATTTTCTTTGTGTTTTTCTTTTTTTTCACTGATAACATGAATAGAAATTTCAAAATATGAAATAATTTTATATTTAATTTTTAAGTAATTGTATTAATTTCATATAAATCATAATAGGTGTCTAAAAAATTCTGTGATTGGAAGTAATAGACAGAAGGGTTCTGTCATTGCTCAAGGAGTTGTTCCACGATTATTGCAATTATTGGGCGATATTTCGGGATCAATAACAGATCGTATTCGTTTAGAAGCTGCGGTAACATTGGGCTCACTTGCAAAAGGAACTGATCAACATGTTGTTGCTCTTATAGATCTTGGTGTTGTTCCATTAATTTTACAAGTATTAATGACAACATCACTTGTCGATCCAATAACTGATGGAAAAACAAGAATCAATGATTTATTAATAGAAGCATGTTTAAGATGTTTACGAACTGTTTTTCAACATTCATCAGCGCCTGTTCATACTATTTATCAAAATCCTTCCCTTGTACCACGTTTACTTTCACTTGCGAGTCGTTCTGTTACATCGCAAATTTGCATCGCTACTATTTTAACCACAGCTTGCAAGGTAATTAAAGTTAGTAAAAATTAGATTAATTGAATTGTAATTAATTACACAGGCACACAAAAAAAAAAGTTGTCTGTTTCTTGAACTAGACATATATTTCCTACAGTATTTTGGCTCGCTGAAACCGAATCTGAGCTCAGAATTGCTCCATCACCCTCAGTTTTTTTTTAAATCGACCAAAACCACCCTTAAACGGACAAATTCACACTTCGGAGATAAAAAATAAGTCAACTTATTTTTTTAAAAAAACCGAATTTTACATCTACGAAACTTTGCTCCCCTAACTCAAAAACAAAGCCAGCATTGATCCAGCACCCCCTTAATTTTTTTAATCGAAAAAACTACCCCTAATCTGAAGAATCAAATTTAGGAGGTAAAACAATAAAATAACTGATTAAAAAATTTTATAACCAGGTATTTTTACTCCAGCAAAGCAGAAACAAAGCCAGAAATGCTCCCTCACCCTCTAAATTTTTTTTAAATCGACAAAACCACCCTTAAATAGAAAAATTCAAATTTAATAAGTAAAAAATATTAAATTACAGGTTTTTTTAAAAACAGAACCTTACATTTATGTAGTTTTGCTCTTCTAACTCAAAAAAATAAAGCCAGCATTGTTCCATCACCCTCTGAAGTTTTTTAATTAAAAAAAACTACCCTTAATCTAAAGAATCAAACTTAGGAGATAATACAATATAATTATATTGTATTACCTCCTAAGTTTGATTCTTTGGTGGTTTTTTCGATTTAAAAAAATTTTAGAGGGTGAGGGAGCATTTCTGGCTTTGTTTCCGCATTGCTGGAGTAAAAATACATGGTTATAAACTTTTTTAATCAGTTATTTTATTGTTTTACCTCCTAAGTTTGATTCTACAGATTAAGGGTAGTTTTTTCGATTTAAAAAAATTCAGAGGGTAATAGATCAATGCTGGCTTTATTTTTTTGAGTTAGTAGAGCAAAACTACATACATGTAAGGTTCTGTTTTTAAAAAAAGCCGGTAATTTAATATTTTTTTACTTCTTAAATTTGAATTTTTCTATTTAAGGGTGGTTTTTCGATTTAAAAAAATTCAGAGGGTGATGGATCAATGATGGCTTCATTTTTTTGATTTAGTAGAGCAAAACTACATACATGTAAGGTTCTGTTTTTAAAAAAAGCCGGTAATTTAATATTTTTTTAATTCTTAAATTTGAATTTTTCTATTTATGGGTGATTTTTCGATTTAAAAAAAATTTAGAGGGTGAGGGAGAATTTCTGGCTTTGTTTCTGCCTTGCGGGAGTAAAAATACCTGGTTATAAACTTTTTTAATCAGTTATTTTATTGTTTTACCTCCTGAATTTGATTCTTCAGATTAGGGGTAGTTTTTTCGATTTAAAAAAATTCAGAGGGTGATGGATCAATGCTGGCTTTATTTTTTTGACTTAGTAGAGCAAAACTACATACATGTAAGGTTCTGTTTTTAAAAAAAGCCGGTAATTTAATATTTTTTTACTTATTAAATTTGAATTTTTCTATTTAAGGGTGGTTTTTCGATTTAAAAAAAATTTAGAGGGTGAGGGAGCATTTGTGGCTTTGTTTTTGCCTTGCGGGAGTAGAAATACCTGGTTATAAAATTTTTTAATCAGTTATTTTATTGTTTTACCTCCTGAATTTGATTCTTCAGATTAGGGATAGTTTTTTCGATTTAAAAAAATTCAGAGGGTGATGGATCAATGCTGGCTTTATTTTTTTGATTTAGAAGAGCAAAACTACATACATGTAAGGTTCTGTTTTTAAAAAAAGCCGGTAATTTAATATTTTTTTACTTCTTAAATTTGAATTTTTCTATTTAAGGGTGGTTTTTCGATTTAAAAAAAAATTTAGAGGGTGAGGGAGCATTTCTGGCTTTGTTTCTGCCTTGCTGGAGTAAAAATACATGGTTATAAACTTTTTTAATCAGTTATTTTATGGTTTTACCTCCTAAGTTTGATTCTACAGATTAAGGGTAGTTTTTTCGATTTAAAAAAATTCAGAGGGTGATGGATCAATGCTGGCTTTATTTTTTTGACTTAGTAGAGCAAAACTACATACATGTAAGGTTCTGTTTTTAAAAAAAGCCGGTAATTTAATATTTTTTTACTTCTTAAATTTGAATTTTTCTATTTAAGGGTGGTTTTTCGATTTAAAAAAAATTTAGAGGATGAGGGAGCATTTCTGGCTTTGTTTCTGCCTTGCTGGAGTAAAAATACATGGTTATAAACTTTTTTAATCAGTTATTTTATGGTTTTACCTCCTAAGTTTGATTCTACAGATTAAGGGTAGTTTTTTCGATTTAAAAAAATTCAGAGGGTGATGGATCAATGCTGGCTTTATTTTTTTGACTTAGTAGAGCAAAACTACATACATGTAAGGTTCTGTTTTTAAAAAAAGCCGGTAATTTAATATTTTTTTACTTCTTAAATTTGAATTTTTCTATTTAAGGGTGGTTTTTCGATTTAAAAAAAAATTTAGAGGGTGAGGGAGCATTTCTGGCTTTGTTTCTGCTTTGCTGGAGTAAAAATACCTGGTTATAAAATTTTTTAATCAGTTATTTTATTGTTTTACCTCCTGAATTTGATTCTTCAGATTAGGGGTAGTTTTTTCGATTAAAAAAATTAAGGGGATGCTGGATCAATGCTGGCTTTGTTTTTGAGTTAGTGGAGCAAAGTTTCGTAGATGTAAAATTCGGTTTTTTTAAAAAATAAGTTGACTTATTTTTTATCTCCGAAGTGTGAATTTGTCCGTTTAAGGGTGGTTTTGGTCGATTTAAAAAAAAACTGAGGGTGATGGAGCAATTCCGAGCTCAGATTCGGTTTCAGCGGGCCAAAATACTATAGAAGATATATGTCTAGTTAAAGAAACAGACAACTTTTTTTTTTTTGTGTGCCTGTGTTATTTTAATGGGATGATTAATGGAAATTTTGTTAATTTAAAGACGGCAGAAGAACAGAATGCTTTATCGAAAGGTGGTGCTGTTGAAACATTGGCTGTACAATTGGATTCATCATTACCAGAAGTACAATTACCGGCATTGGCGTGTTTAGCGAATATGTGCTATCAAAATCATACAGTCTCGGCAATGGTAGCGGCTGCTTCGACAAATAATACACCACAGGGACGTTTAGTTCCAGCGGTATTAGGACAATTAATGGGTAGGGAGAAAAGTTCATTGGTTCAACTTGAGGCTGCTCGTTGTGTTGCCTATATGCATCGAGCTGGTGCATTATCGGCAACTGATCCACGTGTTGTTTATCGAACATTACCGTGTCTTGTGAGATTGTGTCATCGTGATCGACCTCCACGTGAAAGAGTAGCGGCGGCTGAAACACTCGCCTATCTCACTGAAGTTGATACCGATTTGCAACGTCTTGCTTCCATTAGTAATCATCTTATTCCAACTTTGGCGGAATTTTTAAGGCCACATCCTCAGGTAGATTTTCTATTTTTTTTTTCGATTCGATTTTTGACATTGTTTAGAAAATTTTCTATTTTAATGTTAATTAGGTGCAAGATACGTCCTTGTCTCAAGATATGCGACAAGCGGCATTTAGGGCTTTTGCATCATTGGGAGCGAACGATGAAGATATTCGTAAACGTATTATTGAAACACAGAGTTTAATGGAGCATGTTGTGTCTGGACTTCAAGATCCTGGTGGTCCTAGAGTTCGTTTAGCCGCCGTGAGATGTTTACATTCATTATCAAGAAGTGTTCAACAATTGCGAACAACATTTCAAGATCACGCTGTTTGGAAACCATTGATGCAATTGTTACACGGAGCTGATAAAGGATTAGAAGGTAAAAAATCATTTTAATGAAAATTTTTACATTTTTTAATTAACAAATTTTGTTTTCAGGAAGAGGAGAAGGCGAAGAAGATTTATTAACAGTTGCGTCGAGTACTTTATGTAATCTTCTATTAGAATTTAGTCCAAGTAAGGAACCAATTTTAGAATCGGGAGGTGTTGAACTTCTTTGCTCGTTGACAAAACGTCCTGATCCGGCGTTACGTCTCAATGGAATTTGGGCTTTGATGAATGTTGCTTTTCAAGCAGAGCAGCGAGTAAAATCACAAATTCTCTCGTGTTTGGGTACCGATCAGATATTTCGTCTTCTCGCTGATCCGGAACTTGCGGTTCTCATGAAGACACTTGGACTTTTGAGAAATTTACTCTCAACGAAGGCGCACATTGATCGTATAATGGGAGAGCATGCAACACACGTTATGCAAGCGGTGATTTTGGTTCTTGAAGATCCCGAGCATCCTGCTGATGTTAAGGAACAGGCGCTTTGTATTTTGGCCAATGTTGCCGATGGTGATCGCGCGAGAGATCATATTATGGCCAATGAGGATGTACTCAAGAAACTCATGGACTATATGGTCAGTTATTTAATTTAATTTATCACTCTTCAAATTTTTTAAAATATATTTTGTATTTTTTTTACAGATGCATAGCAATGTAAAATTGCAAGTCGCTGCGATATTTTGTGTATGTAATTTAGTTTGGAAGGAGGAACCCGGTGCTGCACAAAGGCAAGCACGTTTACGAGAATTAGGACTTTATCGAATTTTGCAACAATTGCGTCATACAAAGGATTCACAGCTTTTCGATAAGTAAGTCTTTTATAAAATCCCTAATTTCAATTTCTAATATTTAAAAAAAAACAATTTTTTTACTTCTAATGTAAAAATGAAAATTTTCCTTTCAGAGTGAAAACTGCCCTAGCACAGTTCTTTGATCCGTGAACAAGAAGCGCTTGCCAAACTGCATTAGGTTTTTTACAATTTAACACTGTGATCCCGTGAATCCGTATTTCCTTAAAAACGAGAACCCCCAGATTTAAAAAAAAAAAAAATGTAGAAATTTTAAATTGCATGAGATGCACAGCATAATTCTAAATTATTTCATTTTTAGAGACTCGTGCAATATAATTCCAATGTTGACGACTTGCTTCTTGCTAGATAACATAACAAAAAACAATTTATATAATTTCTTCCGCTTTCTGAAAAATAAGAGACATAAAAACAGAACAAAAAAACTATGTATTGCACCGAATCTTTTATTTTTTTTAATTTTTATCATTCATTTTACATTCATGACACACGAAGCATAGTTTTTATTGTTGAAATATAAATTTTTTGAATTGTTAAGTTTATTTTTTTCCAGTTTCTGCGAAACATTTATACTCATTTGCAATGTACAAAGTAATTTCGTCGATATATATATATATATATATATATATATTTAAAATGCAAGAGCAAGAAAAATTAGAAGAAGAAAGAATATGTTGTAATTCTTTTTATCAGTTTTACAGCTACGAATTCTTTGGTATAAAGTATTTATTAATATTTATCTTTGGTATAAATTCTCTTTTTATATAGTTGACGAAATTGATTGAAAGTTTACCTTAATTCTCTTTGTAAGTACTTCAAGAATTATTATTATTATATGAAAATGGAATGTTTCTGGCAATACCAAATAAATATAGGAATGAAATATTTGATTTTTCGAGAAGCACTTAATTCGATTTTGGACGTGATATTTTTTTTTAAACCTTAGTTTTTTAAGAACAAAAAAGAAAATTGGGAATAGAAATTGATTTGCCATAATCCATTATTATGTTGTCAGGCTTTAACATCATAATTATGAATTTTCATAGATATTTTCATATTTTTTTCGTATATGTTTTTCCGTTAATTAAGCTGGAGCGTTATTAATTTTCGAAAGATTCTCCAGTGAATTATTGGCAAGTGGATCCAATTCAGCAAACAAATCTAACCAAGGATTGCCTTTCTTTCCACTTTTATTTGTTTTCTGCAAAAAAAAAGATTTATTTTTAATTTGTTAATAGTTACTTAAATAATAGAAATAATTTCTTACCGGTTCGCCTCCGGTAATCAATGGTTTCTTTTGTTGTTCAATAGGAATGCAAGCGTCACCCAAACTCTGTTTTAAAATTCCAAGTGGTAAAAATGTATCATCGCCAACAGAATCCCATTCATTGTTGGTACTTGGTCCAACGTTGAGAATATCATTTAATAATGCTATATTTTCCGAGGTGAGTTGTTCCAATTCCAATTGTTGTTGTTGCTGTTGTTGATTTGGATTTTGTGATGTTTGCGGTGTTAAACAAGGACTATTGAAAAAATCATAACCCGATGGCGCATTAAATGAATCCATAGCTAAATCCAATTGGGCTAAATTTTTTTCCAATTCAGATATTGTTTGATCTTTAATTGTTGATGTTTCCATGGAAGTTGAATTTTTTTTCGCTTGCACTAGATTTGAGAAAAATTCCTCAAATTCTTTATCAGTCTCCGATTCAGATGGTTGAGTGTTACCATTTTTTGACATTGTTAATTTTGAATTGAGTTTTTTATCCAATTCAAGAAAGTCTTGTGTTATATTTTCAAAATCAAGAAGTTTATCATCGTCTTTATTGTCAGATTTTGGCTCATCGGCTTTTGCCTCTTGAGCTTCTTCCACACTGTCGTGATATTCATCGAAGAATAATAATCTGAAATTTTATTTTTATTATTATTATTATTATTGTGTATTATAAAAACCAAAGAACATACTTGTCTTTATCGTCAATATCATCATCGCCGCCAGTTTCTCTCGCTAATTTTGAAGAAGTTTCCGCAAGTTCTCGAACAACCATAAAATCATAACGTTGATAGCCCTTAAAACTGTTCGCTATTGTCGAATAAGCTTGCGCTGATTTTTTGGTAAAATTCAAAAGTGTATTTTGATATAAAACCAAAGCATGACTAAACATATTGCATCGAGCTGCTGCCAACAGATCTACTTTTTGAAGACAATCGAGAGTTAAATTGTCAAATGATGATTTTCCTCTGAAATAAAAATGTCCATTTTTTAAAAATTAAATTAAAATGTAACAGAATTTATTATCTTAGAATAATTAAATACCGTCGAACGCGAGTTTGTACTTTTCGAAATTTTTCCAATTGCTTAGTTGTATCGGGATCTAATTCTTGGGAAATATTTTTCATCCAATTAAGTGCAGCTCGATATTCGGTTCTTGCTTTTTCCAATGCTTGAACATTTTGTAAAGTATCTTCAATTGCTCGTTGTCGAAATGTTTCTACCTCTTGATAAAGTCGAACTAATGGCGCACGTAATGCAAGTCTTTGTTGTCCCGAGTATGAGAGTGATTTACCCACGGCTGACATCATTTTTCCAGCTCTTGTTTTGTCTTGTTTTCCAGCCTCTTTTAAAAATCGACCCATTGCATTTTCCTCTTGGGCAAGATCTATAACAGAAAAAAAAGAGATTTAAGTTTTAAATAAAATAAAATAAAAAAAACAATTTTTAATAACTTACTGCATAATCGCTCTTGATATTTATCAATGACTCTCTGTAGAAATGCACATGATTCTTGAATACTTCGAAATAATGCAAGTTTAGCGTCTAATTCAGCGTCAGATGAAACAATACATTCATCATCTTTTTTTCCCAATTTACGAGAAAGCGCCTGTTTTGTCACCCAATATTGATGTTGCATTTTTGTTATAGCCGAATCGTCCATATTTGATCTCTGAACCCATCGGTCGAAAGAATTTCCCGAGATACCCGGTGCACCTCCTCTATCACTTTAAAAAAAGTAGGTTAAAATATTTATTTACCATATACAAATAAATAGAAAAATTATATCATTGTTTATTAAAAATAAGTTTTAATTTAGTTTCACTTTGATAAAAATAATAATTAAGAATATTCTATCCAAATAATAACAAAAAACAAAACAATAAAAGAATAGTAGAACACTCAAGTGCTGGACAATTGTTAAAACAGAGACATTATATATATTGAAAGGCTAAAGTATGTAGATAATTCTTAATGTGTTAAATAAATGAAAGAACGGATATTGTGTGTCTTATCAAGACTTTGATAAGCGTTTATATTCATTAGCATAAAAACTATCCTTGATATATTGATAAAATGTTTATTTATATTGTAATAATTTTAAATTAACAAAAAGATAAGTCTGAGTAAGTACTTACTAAGTATTCATGTTGATTGTTTTACTTTAGTTACTTTCAACAGCTTGTTAATAATAATATGTCATAAAACACTATTTTGACATTTCATTTTGACAGATTAAACATGACGATGGCCATATTGAATTTAGCAGTCGACACAGATTGCAGACGACACAAAAATTTTATCGACAGTTGATAAACAATCCACAAATTATATCGCGCATTATTTGAAAATAAATTCAATTTAAAATAATATAGGAAAAGAAAAAAAAAGTAGGTGTAATTTTTTATTTATAATATATATATGATATCTATATTTAAATTGTTATATGTTAAATAAATTCGCTATCTTTATGTCAAATTTAAAATTAGCGCTAAAAACAAAATGCCATCTTTACTCAGCTTTGTTAACTTTGTTCAATTTTTCAAAATTCCGATTTTTGAGGTTAGAAATCGATTTAAAACTGTCACGATGGTTTGTTTTTTTGTTGTTTTTAATACACTGTAAAAAGTCCAAACAGAATTTTCCCAAAGATAGGAATTTTACTTTTAAGAATCCATGGCACAAATACTATATTAAATGCAGAAATAATACAGGGTCCAAAATGGAAAATACAATATTTGGTAATTTTACTATTTCGAATATTGGGATTTTCCATTCCTCGGCGAAATTCCTACTTTTAAAGTGGGTAATAATGTTACCCACTTTCAAAAGGACGAAATGACTGAAGGCTGTGAAACTGCACTAGATGGGAAAATTACCATTGGCGAACGTAACCTTACTAAAGCAAAAATGACAATTCCACACTGTAGTATTTTTCCTGTTTTTAATGTAGTATAATCACAAGTGTTGGTAATATTCCCGTTTCTTTAGAAAAATACATTAGCGTGTAAAATTACCATTTTTTAAAAGTAATATTAACAATTTTTTGAAAATTCCCAAATTTTGAAATTCATAATATACGCACACATTTACGATTTATGCGCCGTGTGCAATCGTTAATGCCTGGCAGCAGTCGGCATTCATCGACAATTGTCTTTTTGATTGTAAAGATGACGTAAAAATGGTAAAATTTTACGACACGAGTTATTTTATCCTTACATAGGACAATTCATAAAAGTTTTTGTTCATAATTTAAATTAAACTTGAATATGAAAAACAAAAATGTTAATGTTTCTTGTGCAAAAATATAGGAATAAAATATAGAGTCTAATTGTGTTTATAATTATTTTTTCTTTATTTTATAAAATTCTTTAGCGAATATTAATAACTTAAAAGTAAATACCTTCATCGTAATCGCATAAAAAGTATAAATTATTCCTATATTTTTTTCTAAACATAAAAATTTAATATTTTATAAAATTTCGGAAAAGTACTGATGTCTGTATATTTACTTTCTCCTGCGTTTAAAATACCAGAAAGTGTAACTGTACAGTTCGTGGCAATTTTCCCATCTCGTCTGGAAAATTACATAACCTAAAAATTTTATTCCCATCGACAGTAAAGGTGCCGTTCTGATAGTGGGTAATAATCTTTCCCACTTTCAAAGTGGTAAAATTCCATTAAGTCTTTTTACAGTGTATATTTTGATTCTTTCTTTGACTAGATAAAAAAATTGTCAGCGAGTGTTTATTGAATTTTTTATTTAATTTACAAAATTTTCAATTAACTTTAAATTTAAAAATATTAATAAACTTTGAAAAATCGTTATTTTTTTAATTTAATTTAAAAAGTAAATTTAATATACGAAATTTATAATATTTTTTGGTTTTTTTCAAAAATTTTCTTTTTTTCATTTAATTTAGAAATAAAAATAAATAATTAAATCAATATGAATGTGACCATAAACGTTTTTCGTTTTTAGGTCGTCTTCCAGGGTATAAGTATATATACATATATATACAAAAAGAGAATCGGATGTAATCGTGAAATGTGATGGATGGACGGACAATGGCGGCTGTTCTTCGAATTGACAGCACGTTTATTTAGAAAAACATGAAAAAATGTGATCTTCATGCCATTTGGGAATAACGTTATAGTTGAGGTAAGACTTTCATTTATGTTTACATATTTGTATGAGCATGAGTTTTCATTTTGAAACAAAAAAAAAAAAAATATTGTATATAACAAACACGCTGTATTCGAATTTGAGGTTTATTGTCGAAACATCGCGTGTTTTGTTGCTTTTGTTTGTTTTTTTAATTAATAAATAATTAATAAGTGAAAAAAGTAATAGGAATTGTTAAAAGTTGTTAGAGAAATAAAATGCTATTTAATATCGTAAATAGAAGTATTGATGTTGGGCGTTATTGTGTACAAACACTGTCCTATATTTTAAATAAATTGAATTTATTAATATTTTTTTTTTAATTTAATTTGGTTTTGTAAATTAAGCAGTTTTTTTCATTTTGTTAAATAGTGAAAAAATGTGTTTTGATGTTAACCTTAAATGTTTTGTTTCTAGTTATTTTTTCTTATTCGTCAATTTTGTTATTTATTCAGATTAATAATTTGTTTTTTTTTAGTGGAGGCGACAATGAGTTTAAATTATCGGAATTGAATTGGATGAATGGATTCGTTGGCATATGAATTTCACGAATGTTCATTCGCATGCCAAGTGAATGATCAAAAGCTCGGCAAGAAGGCAGGAGCGAGCGTGCTAGCACGCTTAAGTGATGAGCGATTCTCGGCATCATCTTCGGTCTGTCTCGGATTTATATGCAGCCGATGAAATAGAGGTACTACTTTTAGAGGAAATTCGCGATTTGGAACCACCAAGTGCATACTCACGACCCGAGGACATTCAAGACTTCGAAATTGGTATTGAAATTTTTCTATTATTTGTGTATTTAAAAAATTTAGAGATAGGGTCAGCCGGGGTAAATCCGAACGGGGGGTAAATCCGAACGCTAATTATTTCAGCTTAATTAAAATTTTTAAAAATAAGTTCGATATGAGAATTTTTACCTCAGATCCTCTTGAAGAGATTCTAAGTATTATCCCATTTTTCGTTTGTTAATTAGCAACAGCATAAACAAAGATAACGAGTATTGAAAAAGATTGAAAATCAAAGATGACACTCTTTCAGTATTTTGTCTCGTATTTGAAGAAAAAGAAGCTAAAAATTTATTTTATTATTTATAATTGTTTGTTATGAATACTAGAACAGAAACTATTTTTGATTTTTGCCTTCTGTAAAATTTTATTAATAATATCAGACCGTTCGTATTTACCCAGGAAAATTGGAAAACCGGGGTAAATCCGAACGGTACTTTCAATAATTTTTTTTTACATCAGAGCCACACAAAATTGTTTTTATTTCATTACACTATTATTTTAACATTATAAAAGTACAGAGAAAAAAGTTTTTCTTTCTATACGTATCCTCGTTAGTAATTAATAAGCAGAAACTTAATCTCTGTTCTCTCGAAGGAGTGTTTCAATTTTTTTGCCAAATGGTTTGTTGAAAAAAGTTTTTCAGGATCTTAATAAAATTTGGTATTCTACGGTTTTTGGGGTCGCTAATTACCAATTTGAAGTCAGTTTTTAAAAATTCAAAATGGCCGACGAGAATTAAAAAATTCATTGGATTCGCTCGAAAATTGTTACTCGGGGGGTTTCAGGGTCGCTGATTACGAATTTGGAGTTAGCAAATTTGATCATTTTTAAAAATAAGTTTTAGGAAAGTCCGCCATTTTGAATTTAAAAAATTTGACTTTTATTTTTGTATTTACATTCAATCACTCCAAAATACTTTCTGAACCAAGTTTTGCAAAAATCCGTTATGATTTGATAAAGTTATTGAAGGTTTTAATTGTGTAATGCATTTTAATTTTTAACCTGTTTGATTTTTGTATTTATATATGATGCATTATTACATAATAGGTTTATTATCGTATTTTTTTTGAGTTTTTATATAAGTTTAACAATTGCAATACTTTAAATTTATTTTCCCTAAGATTTTTCTGAAATACAGTGGCGTTCGTATTTACCCCGGTATTTTAGGAAAGTTGCAAAGTATCGAGGTAAATACGAACGCTAAGTTTCCTGCGATTGTAATTTATCAAAAATTTTTGCTACCCCATAAAATTGTTCTATGGAAGTAAAGTAACAACTTCATGCACCAGAATACCGGAAGTATTTTTTTTTAAAGAAAAAACTTATATTATTGTTGAAACTTACTAAAAGCGTTCGGATTTACCCCGGTTGACCCTATTAAATTTAATTTTTTTTTGTCAGCGGGGAGCAGAACGGGGGGGCGAATCAGCTCCCAATCGTCGGAGCTGGATTCGCCGGGAATTCATTCAACGGTCCATTCATGGGACTCACATGCCAATTATCATTGTGGACAGGGAAGACATGGATCCTTAAATGGATTACAATGGCCTCGAAGCAGTCATGTTGTATTGTACTGCGATATTCAGGGTCATCTCAAGACATCGACTGGTGTTATTCGACTTTTGTTACTTGTAGGAATTTGCATATTTTTATTAAATAGGAAATTAATTTTTCGAAATTTCTATTTTTTTTTATTTTTCAGATATCGTCGGCAGCTTGCTTAGTGACTCTCTGCAGTTCGGGAACTGCCAAGGTCAGCCTTTTTATGCTGCCTCTAGTTGGACGATTAAGATTCATGATCTTCGTCGCCATCTTCTGTCTACTAGTCACATCTTTACTTCTCTTTCTCGATATTTCGCACATCATCTATTTCTTCCCTCTCAATTGGCCTAGATTGGTAATGACAATGATAAAATTTCATTTAGAGAGACGGGAATTTTTTTTTATTAATTTCGTATTTTTAGAATACGTGGATGTTCACTGGTCTGGGAGTGTCATATGTGGTGAGCAGCGCACTATTAGTGAGTTCAGTATTAGAATATCATGGCCATGGATGGATTCCACGTCGTACTTGCCGTCAATTGTCCGCCACCGCTGGATTAAGTCTCTCTTGTGCTTTATTATCATTTCTTCTCTCCTGGATTCACGGTCATGGACGTTCAACCTGTAAAGGTCAATCCGGTCATGAGGATTCGGTCAATCAACAATATAAACCTGTAGATAATTCCACATCGTCAGGGGTAAGTTTTTTTTTATCTAAATTTTATTTCTCAAATATTTCTAAATTATTATTTACCTTACAGGCAACTCTGAAGGAAAAGAGTCCCAACAGATGGACAGGAAAGAGTCAACAATCGAAAAAACGCGACGGTGACAATACAAATGGTAACAACAGTCATCGTGGTAATAGTTATGAAAATCGTTTTAAAACTGGAAATAGAAAAGATCATTGGGCATCGGCGAGGCAACATTTTTTAAATGACGACGATGACAATGACGATGTACAAATGAAGGAGGACAATGATACAGAAAGAAAGAGACGAAGAAAGAAACGTGATGAAACAAGTATAGGTGGTAATGGAAGTTTATCGGCAAGTAAAACTGGCACAAGTATTAGCCTTGAGGAATCAAAACCAAGGCGAGTACCACAAAAATTGCCATTAAAAAATATTGATCGACCGCAATCACGTTCGACACCAAAAAATACCGCTTCAAAACAACAGCCAACATCAATTATAAAACCATCAAAATCGCAAAGTAATGATATTCAAGCATATTGGAGTATGACGGAAACACGTCAAATTGAAGTCACTGAAAATGGTTTAAATTGGGAGGCTGAACCACAAGCAAAATCCGATGCAATTGATATAACGGAAGTTAAAACATCAATGTGGACTGAAAAATGGCGACCACCACCAGATGATGTTCAACCATGTTCTAGTAAAGCCATCGATCCCTATACATTTGCTTAAAATCATTCGAATTTTTAATATATATATATATATATATATAAAATATTTCACTGCTGTGAAATTCTTTCCAATTCAACGAAGCGGTCTTTTCATGTACAGAATCTATAAAAAGTCACGAAAGTTAGTGTCTAATGTGTGTGCTGAAAAAAAAATATATAGGCGACAATCAACAAACAAAAATAGAGAAAATGGCTAAAAACTCGATGTGAATAAATTTTTCGAAATAAAATTCAAATAAAAAAAATATTGTCAGTTTGCTGTGAATTTTTTTTTTTTTTAAATTAGATTGTGTGTTATTTGTGTGTGAAGAAACGAAATTTTTTTTTAATACGCCATTTTCTTTACTTTATCGTCAGAGAATCTTTAAATATTCAAAATAAATATTTTGATTTGAGATTCTGTGCAACCGCCGTTTAAGTACTTCCCAAAATAATAATGAAGATACTGTATAAAGTATAATGCCTTGTACATTTTTACTGCCATTTTTTTGGATGTGTTTCCGCAAAAATTGCAGATGGCACTTTATTCGAAAAGATATTTATTGTATGTCGAAGAAAAAAAAAAAAAATCGAAACGAAGTAGATTGATATTGTATTACATTCCATTTTTTTGTAATATAAGATATTACATTCAATAATTTTACAATCTCAGGTATAATTTACTATAATTTCTGACTTTTGTCAAAAATTATCGTAAATAATGAGATTAGTACTGTGCATTTTTATAAAATAATTATTAATATAAATCACTTGAATTTATTCCCTTTCTCTCTCTCTCTTTCATTAGTTTCAATTTTTTACCACCGAGATAATTTTTCGATTTTTTACACTTTTACACGAAAATCTCGTTAAAAATATATTTCAAAGTCGATAAAAAAAAAAAAAAAACTATTTAGAATTTTTTTATCCAATTTTCGAAGAATTTGCTTAAAAGAAGTGTAAATATTTTATTTTTTAATTATTATAGATAGAGCTCAATAGTTTTTAGAATAAAAGGAATTCCAATTTACGAGAACGAAAAAGCGCAATTTACAATAAATAAAAAAGCAGCAAAAAAAAAAAAAGAATGCCTTGTATTTAAAGAAATTGAAACAATAACACCGACAATCAATAGGGAAAAATAATAAGAAAATTATCTTTCAAAGATCTCAATTTTTTCCGAAAAGTCGGTTTTATTGGCTTTAAACAGCTTTTTTCGAATTACAAAAAAAAAAAAAGAAAAATTATCTGCATAGTCATGTACAAATGTGCTTGTACAGAAATGGTATATTGGTTTCAAACGTATATGTAATTATATATAAAAAGCGAGAATAGAAATTCTCTGTGAATATTAAAAAAAAAAAATACTTTGTGTCGAGAAAAAAAACGTCTAAATTGTGCTAGACAAAAATTTCACTGTCGTGTTAATTGCTAAAAAAAACGAATTCATTGTCGTGTTTAATTGACAATTAATACGATGATAATAAATGATACGTTTGCTAGTCATTATATTATATTAATTATTATATTAGTGAAGTTAAGTCTATTTTTTAGTGTATACATATCGCATTAAATGTACAATCCAATTTTTCAATTTTCTCAGTCAACGATTTTCTTAAATTAATACGAGATATATTTGTCAATGAATAATTTATATCTTTAATTAAAATAATTTTCCTTCCACATTTTATCTTCTGTAACCGTTGTGGGGCGATATCAAATTGGTTACATATATAATAATAATAATATAGTTTCATTATTGTCTTTTTGATACAAAATATTAGTGTGTAAATATCTAATCGAAATCAAAAATCGAATCTTGAAAAAATGAGGATACGATTTTTAATTTGAATATAGTAAAATTAAATAATTGAGATTAAAAATACGTGTTCATCTAGGATTGTAATAAGTATTAGTAATGTAATAAATGACAGTGTATTATTTCAATTAATTATTTAATTAATTACTTTTCTATTATTCAGAAAAATTTGTTTTTTAAAGTTAATTTAAACATACTTGTTAATTTTAGATAATTAACATTTAAATTATTTACATTGCTTTGTTAATTTAAATAACGTATTAATACTTTTTCTTTAGTACAGTCACAATTAAAAAAAAATTTTTTTTTTCATTCAATCATTAATGATAATTTATTAAATATGAATAAGAATTAATTAATAATAGACTAATTTGAACTTGGATTTATACTAACATTTTCAGAATCCTTTACGACAACAAAGACGTCTTCCAAATTTTGTTGCACTACATTTGGATCGTTTGCAAGTTGATTGAATTCGTGTTCTTCGCAATCTATTATTTCAATACTAACATTCTCCTCAGGTACAAAGCTGTTAAAAAAAATTTTGTTATTTAATTTTGCTGAATAATTAAAAAAATTGAAAAAATTAATTTAATATTAATTAATTTTTTTAAATATTAAAATATAAAAATAGATTTTCATTTAATTTACTTGAAAACTGGAGAATTCACAGCAGACGTACGAACCGGACGATGCTGAAAAAATGTTCTAAATTAAAATTTAATTTGAAAATAAAATTTTTTTAATTATTTAAAAATAATTTATTATAATTGTTGATTTGATAGTTAACATACGTGCTGAGGGCATTGAGATTGTTTAAAAGATGGAAAATTCCAATTTTTTGACTTTGATTTTGTCCAAGAATCTGTCGTGAATTGATGATTAGGAACCGAAAATTGTTCATTAGAAACGGGTATTCCCATCGAAAGTCTTTGTTCCAGTAATTGATATTCCCGTTGCAAATAATCAAAGTAATATTGATTATAATCATATTCCCTGGAACTTGAAGCCGATAGATCTGAAAATACAAACAAAAAATTGAGTTTAATTTCAAAATTTATTCGAAAGTAATTTAAATTTAAAGAATTAAAATTATTATCATTATTTTACCCTCAGTATTATGAATGTTCAACATAGAATTACAATATTGTTGATGATCCATTAATTCTTCGTTTTTTATCATATTATCTGAATTAGATCGAGATCTGAAGAAAAAAAAATTAAATTGTCAATCGCTAATTAAACTTATTATTATCCAATTGAAATCATTTAATTTAATTTAATAAAAAAATCATTTATACCTTAAATTAGATTCCTCAAGAACAAAATTATTTAAATCAGAATTACTCAATTGTTCAGTAATGTTTAAAGAATCAGAATATGAATTTTCTCTTTCTTCTGATTTACATTCAGATTTTTGATTTTTACTTAAAGAAACATCAACTTTTTTTCTTTTTGCAACATTTGTTTTTTTTCTATTAACTTTTCGTCGTTCAGTTTCTTTTTTCACTGCAGATCCTTTTCTCCTGACAACGCTAGGTTTTCCTTTTGTCATATTTGTCGAGCACAAATCATACGGTTCAGGATCCCTGCCTAAAACTGATTTTGTTATAATTTTCTTCCAACAATCTATAAAAGCGGCAGTTTCATCGGAAATTGGATCATTATTGCTTGGCGTTATAATTTGTACTTTTTCAATATTTTCTTTCGCTGCAAACAAATAAAACTAATTTCAGAAAAATGTAAAATAAAATATATTTAAAAAAAAAAAATGAAATACTTACGAGTTTCTTCTTCTCCTTTAATTCTGTGTAAAAAGTTTTCAATACTTCGACTCAGATTATTATTAATATCAAAGTCAGAGGGTTCTAGAAATTTTTGCTAAAAAAAAATAATAAATGCATATAAAGAAATTAATTAATTAAAAGAGAAATAAATTAACAAAATACCTTTTTTCTTCGTATTGGAATAATTTCAATTTCTTTACTATTTGCATGCACCACATCCATTTTGAAGATATCTTCTTGAATTGCCCTTTGCAAATAACGTAACTTTCGTATTAAACGTTTTTCCGTTTGTTTACTAATTTTCGTTTCATCATCGACTGTATTTTGAAAAGGAATTATTTTTTTCTGCTTCTCTTGCGATAAAATTTGTTCACGATTATTATTCAACTGGACGGAATTTTTTATTTCTGGACTTTTCTTTCTTGATCTTCTTGAAATTTTTTTTTTCGGCACATCAACAACTTCTGGCTTCTTGAAAACACCTAAACTATCCTAACAAATAAAAAAAAAAAACATTAATAATTAATTCAAAATCGATTATTATTTATTTTTCAAATATTTTAAACAGACCTCAATTTTACAAAAGTCATCTTCGTCATCTTCAATATTTTGATTTTTAAAATTTTCTTGATATAAATGCGTTGATTGGCAAATTGCATTTTTCCTTAGCGTATAAGGTGTCGATATAAATTTCATTCTATAATCCGACGATGTACTTGGAAGCTATTTAATTTAATTGTTTCAAATTTACTTTGAAAAAAATTCCTTTGAATAAATAAAATTCAGTTTTACAAACCTCACAAGTTTCATCAATTTGTTCCGTGCTTTCATTTTTACTCTCAAAATCAGATTGCGAATTTTCGATTGTATCTTCGATATTTGAAGAATTTTTCTCTAAATTAATTATTTGATTACTTGAATCATCATCGTCGGTTCCAAAATCAAGAAATCGACTGAAAAACAAAATTAAAGAATTTTAATACTGATATTAATAATTATTTACTTTAAAAATTAAATTATAATTTCACTAAAGAAATAAAAATATTTTATACCTATCGGGTAAAGTAGTCATTCTAGTGAATCCTACAGCTTTCTCAAAGATGTCTTCAACGATATCTTCTGGAATCTCCTTCGGTGGAGGAATAATTGAAACTAAAAGTTTAAATCCTCTAGAATCAAAGTCACCCAAAAGTACATAAAGTGTTTGAAGAAGACGTTCATATGCCTCAAGACCATCTTCCGGTTGATACATGTGTAAAAGTCTTGCGACTGTTCTTGTAATATTGGTTCCTTCATAACTATTCTGAAGTGCCATCCAAAGTGATGCAAAAGTTTCTGAACCCATTGGATCGTCAGATGCTTCTAAAAAAAATATAAAATCTCTTCATTATCCTCAAAATATTAGATTATTTCAAAATTATATCATACTTTAAATTAATACAATTAAAGTAAAATTAACATTAACATAATTAAATTATTTTTTTAATGTTAATTCTACTTGTTTATTTTTCTATTCATTCTTTTTAATATTTATTGTAATTAATTGATTAATTAATTGTAGCCAAGTATTTGCGAATGAATGTTAAGAAATTTTTGAAGCAAATAAATATTTCGCCATATCAATTGTTTTTTAATAATATTTTTTTTAACAACATTAATATACTCACGGAAAAGTGAATTAATTTATTTTAATATCTAAATTGAGAAAATAAAAATGATAAGAAAAAAGGGAAATCAACAAAATGCCTCTTGTCAGTTTACCTGACCACCATTTTTAATAAGACTCTACTTTTTCTTGGAAAAAATGGAAAAATCACTTACGACTTGATAAAAATGTAGCCATGATGAAAATATTAAATTCAGGAAGTATAAGATTTTCTTCTAATTTCTTATTACTTATCCGATTCAAAAAAGTTATTTAAAAAAAAAACTGTTAACGGAGTGTATTTACAAGGAGAACAATTTGAAACAATTGCAAATGCAATTATTGTTTCCAAAAGAAAAACAAAAAAACAAGTGAATATCGATTTTTTCAGAATTTTCTCAGAAAAACGATAAGGAAACAAAAGCACATCAATTAGTCTCAACTTCCTGTTTCTAAATAAATTCAAAATTTCAATAGAGCAAATAATGGATTTACTAAAAAAAATTAATAATTAAATAATTCTTAAAATTAAATTCATTTTTTTAAATTAATAAAAATCAAATAGAAAATTTTTCGCCATTTAAAATTATTTAAATCTGTAAAAAAAAAACTAATTGTAATTATTTTGTCATTCTTTTTTAAATTGAAAATAAAAATGTTTTTCAAACATTTGTCAAAGCTAAAAATACAGACAGATTAATAAAATATGAATCGTTAGTTAAAAAATTTAATTTCAATAATCTCGTCGCAATATTCGAGGAGGAAATTGCAAAATGTATTTTGAGAAATGGCAAATAACTTTTTATAATCCACATGTGCAAAATGTGAAAGCAAAAGAAAGGATTATTTTAATTATTCTAATTTCAGAACCCTCATCCAGTGTTTAATTTTACAATGTGGAATAATAAATACCAAGAAGATTTGCATTAATTAAAAATATTGGGATGATTCGAATAGTATAAAAATCGCTGGTCTCTTATCATTCATTCGTAATTCAGTGAAGATGTGTCGAAGAAAAGGAACCAATTTTTGTATTGTGCTAGCCATAATAATTGGTGTGACTGCAAAGCCACCACCACCACCTGGAGCACCATGGGCACCGTACGCTTCAAAACCAGGTAAATTCCCTTCTTTTTAAATTTACTTTTTAAATTTTTGAATCGAATACTCTTTTTTAACTATTATAAATATCGAGTTAATTTTAATTAATTTAATAATAAATAAAGTAATAAAAAAATGTAAATAAAATAATAAATAAAATGACGTTAATTAATAAAATATTGAAAAGAAGTTAAAATTCGAAATTTTTAGATTTTAAATTGTAATCGAACACAAATTTTTAGTATACTACAGATCTTTGGGTCCACCATCGAGCCTTGATATGGGAACAATAAATGTCCCATATATGTCAAAATCGCCAATGTTTCCCAAATTTGTCGACCCAAAAATGATGATTGCAAAGAAAACAGAACTCTTGAGTAATTTATTCGCCGGTTTGGGACCAGTCGATGCTCCCGCAACTGGAAAGGATGCATTTCCCTTTCTAAAGTTAGCTGAACCTGAAAATGTAAGCTCAAGAGTTTTTATTATTTAATTTTTTCCAATTTCTTTTTTGTATAAAAAATTAGAAAAAAAAATCCAGAAAAGATACTTTAAAAATTTAATTTAATTTTACTAGAAAAATAAATAATATACTATTATTCAGGCACCGGAGAAACGGGGACTTTTCGGTTCAATGATGGGTCCAGGTGGACCAATGATGGGTCCAGGTGGTCCAATGATGGGTCCAGGAGGTCCAATGATGGGACCAGGTGGTCCTATGGGAAAAGGTATGCCTGGTGGTCCAATGGGACCAATGGGCAAAGCAGGAAAGGCTTCCATGTTTGGTTCGAAATTTTCGAAATTCGGCAAAACGGGATTTCCACCATTTGGAGGCTATGGAAGTTCCATGTACTCGGAAGCCGGTGATTTTACTGGCTCATCTAGTCGCCGACGAAGAAGCCTTGAACCATCAACAAAGGAGAGTACAAAACAAGTTGGACCACCACCTCCATATCCTGGACTCGCAACAATTCCCGAGGAACCTGAAAAGCAACTTTTGAAATTATTCCGCGATTCTTCCGCTTATCAATCAGATTTTGCTGATGACTTCGATCAATCGAAAAATACTGTAAGTGTATAAAAAATATTTTTTTCTTCAAATTAAAACAAATTTCAAATTTTATCTTAAAATTGGATAAAAATAAATTTGAAAATTTCAAATTTTTATAAATTTCAAATTTTTTACCAGGAAAAACGAGGACTCTTCGGCTCGTTTATGATGCCTTTTGGCTTTCCAGTTCCAATGAGTCCAGTTTATAATCCAATGGTACCAATGGTAAATCCAGCAGCACCAGTTGCTAATCCAGCAGCAGCTAATCCCTTGGCGAGTTTGTCTCTTGTTAATCCAATGTTCAATCCATTTCTTTCTAAATATGGAGTAATGCCACCGAATCTTCCATTGGGACCTTCGGCAGATTCCGATACACAAGCAACGTCATCGCGTCGAAGAAGAAGTGTTGGCGATGAATCAACAGTCACTGGAGAACAAGAGGGTTCTGATCCAAAAGCACCACTTTTGAAGCTTCCCGGATTCTTCCCAGGAATGTACGGTCCATTCGGTCCCATGGCTGGTCCATTTGGTCCTATGGCTGGTCCATTTGGTCCCATGGCTGGTCCATTTGGTCCCATGGCTGGTCCTGGAATTGCAATGTCAAAAAAAGCAGCTTTTCTCGATACACTTTTCAAAAATCTCGCCACAACTCCATCGCCAGCTGTCACTGATGTTCCCGTTCCAAAAACTACAATTGTTCCACCGAATTTTTGGCTGCCTTCTTCCGTGATTCCCGGTCCAACTGAATACTCACAAAAGGTTCGAAAAAATTTTAATAAACAGAAAAAATTCAATTCATTTTAATTATTTTCGAAAATTGTGTATTAAAATGATATAATTTTTTTTTGGAACAGGTCTCTAAATTTTTGGACAAACTTTTTAGTCAACTGGCATTGAACGCTTCATTAAATTCAACCGCTCCGGACAATTCAGCTGACGCAACCGTTAAAGTTGCACGGTAAATGAAAATATTGTAATATCAATTAAAAAGCTTCACTTATTAATCTAAGAAAAATTTATGGAAAAAACTTTTGAATTACTATTCTTGAATAAATTGATTTTTCTCAAAAGTAACACTTGTTTTCTATTCTTTTGTAAAATTATCTCAATTAAAATTAATTTACAAAAAAAAATTAATTTTTGAAAATATACCAAAAAAATTAACTACTTTTTTTTATATAAGAATTAATAAAAATAAATTAAATTGTAAAAAAAAAAAACAGATCAGTGGACGATTTCACAAAAATTGCCGATGCCAAAGATTCAATTGTCGACTCAATTCTCACGGAACTTGGAGCCATAAAAGGCAATATGATTGCGACAATGACTGATCTTATCAATTATGAAAAATCAGTGGCATTCAATCCTTTACTTAAAAAACCAAGTAAAAATTTAGCAACAAATCTCTGGCCATCGCCGACAGTTGATGCAACAATGCCATTTCAACAGAGAATGATTCTCCTTGGTCAAGTGTTTGATATGTTGACAGCTTTGCAGAAAAATATCACAACTTCCGCTCAAGCAGCAATGAAAGCTCAATTGGCTGCCACTGAAGCACCAGTTGAATCAACTTACTATCCTCCCGTGTAAGTATTTAATAAAAAATAAAAAATTAATTCTCGTTTCTAAATTTAACATTGCAAAAATTTCGTACTTCAAAATCAAAACATCATTTTTTTTTTAATAAAAAAGAAATGTTTCTACAATGAAAATTAAATTAAATTAAAAGTAAATTCTATACCTTCAATTTTCTTTTTCTCTCCTCATAGAGAAGCATTGCCACCTTCCTTTTTTCCATCATCAAACTCGCCAGTTTTCAACACAACTCTTCTTGACGCAATAAGAAATAAACTATCCAGCATCACATTCCCATCATCATCAGCAGCTGCTTCTTCATCTCCATCAGGATTTGGCTTCGTTCCACCAAAGTTTGCTAGAAATTCTCCATCATCATTTTGGGTGTCACATTCATCTAATGATGCTACATCAAAAAGAGAAGTACCCGAAGAGCAAGATGTTCTATTTCAAGATTTCTACAGGAATAATCAAACTCCACGAGGTGTAAAAATGCAAATGCATCAAGGCTATCAAAGTATGCCACCCGGTGCTATTGAAACCGTTCAAGCTGGAGGAAACAGTGTTCCTGGTCATCAAGGAGGTGGAATTAATTTGCACGTAAGTAATATTTAAATAATTATTATGAAAAAATAGAAATCGGGACAAATTTTGCTGAAAAGAATTAATCACACAATTAATAAATAAAAAAAATAATAAATTAAAACTATAAAAAAAGGTAGAAAAAATAAAATTAAAGAAATCCTTGAAAAATATTTATGTCAAAAGACTTCTCTCTCACAATAAGAAATTCCCAGGAAAAAAAAAAGAAAAGAAGTGTAATCAGATATTTAAAAAATGATATCCTATCAGATTTAATTAAATTATTATCGGATGATAAAAAGATAAAATAAAATTGGTTATGATTTGTTTAAAAATATTATCAAAATCTGATTGCAGATTCAAATGCCTTCATCAAATTCACGTTCGCCAGACTTTGAAAATGTTAGTGTCTATTAGAAACAAAAAAAAAGAAAACAAGTAGTGCGAACATTATTTTGTAATTTTCTTTTTCAGGATATGAATTACAACAATTATGGTAAAAAATGGGCCGAGTGGGGTGACTATGTAAAAAATCAATTTGAAGGCAACAGACATCATCACAATCATCATTAAATTCTATCATGTGAGCAGGTTAAAATTATCATTTTTCTCACGAATTTTTGAAATTCGTCGAATGAAAAAAATACATTCTACAATTTTCATTTGTAAAATTCTAGTAATTGTACGTGAATAAAAATCAAATTTAACGGACAATATGAAGTAAGTCAATAAAAGCCTTTCCTTTTAAATAAAGCAAAATTATTAATATTTTTTTACTATATAAATTAATATTAATTAGTGTTTTTTAAAATTAATTAATATTAATTATATTTTTATTCGGCATTAAATCTAAATTAGAAAAAAAAAACATTTTTAAGCATACGAGTGCGATCCTGCATCAAGTGCGTTGCTTTATCTATTAATTAGCAATGCATTGCTCGCAGGGTAGCTTTAGTGTGCAAAAAATCTACAATTATTCATATAAATTGAGACAAATTCATTCCACTTTGTATTTGACTAACAAACTCTGTACAAAATAATTACACGGCAGTGTGATTGCAGGATTTCTACGTCGCATTGAAAACTTATGCAATACTTTGTAAAACGAGTATTTGGTATATATAAGATGAAAATTCGTACGAATGAGTAAGTCACTTGATTCTTAATTAATTAATTAATTCTCCTATTAATATAATAATTAGTTAATTTTCAATATTAATTTAAATCTCTATTATAATAATAATAATTTCAATTATAAATATTACTAGGACTTGTCTTTAGACTTTGGTTTACAGGACATGAGAATAATCAGAGCCAAAGGACACATGAATTTCTAGAAGGAAGCAGAAATTTTCTTTTTTTTTTTTTACTAGATTATTAAATGGTTAACTAACTTTTTATATTGCACTATTTTAATATTATTAAAAAAATGTTAATTGTTTATTAAATTCTAAGAATGCCAGTTAAACGTTCATTAAATTTGAAAATTTTTTTTTTATTCCTTTCAAGTAGAAAGGTAATTTTTGTTTTTTTTGTTTGTGCCTTTTGGTTCAGACTTTTTTTTTATATATACTAACGGACATAAGGACTCACTTCGTTAAGTTCAAGATTAATTAATACTATTAACTATATAAGTCACCCGTTTTCAATTTTTTTTTTTTTTTTTTTTTTTTTTTCTTTCATCGAGAATTTACTGTCACCTTGACTTTGTTACTTGTGCTACGAGACGCTCCACACATGAATCGACTCTTATTAATAAAAGTACCGATGCCAGAACGCTGCCGAGGGTTACCAGAAATCCAATTCCCTCGAATATCAATTTCGGGGCAAATATACTCCACACCATCAAATGTCTGCAATGGATTGTCGCAGCGAGCATACACCCAAATGTCTGTAATTTATTATTATTTTTCAATAAACTCAAAAATAATCAATAAAATTTTTTTATTTTTTTCCCTTAAAAATTTTTCTTAATAAATAAAAATTTACTAATTTAGTATTTAAATAGAAATTATTCTAAATAGTCTTTGAATTGATATTCAAATAAGTTAATAAATAAATAAAAATTTACCCTCATTCCATGAAAGAGAATGTATTTTCCGCAAACCGAGAAAATCGAAGATTGGAAAGCTGAATCTCGTTCATAGAGTAACAATTCTCCTTTTTTCGTTCCGTCCTCTAATTTAAATTTAGGTTTTGCCACATTCGGAAACATGATACCGAACGTGAAAGGAACAATTACCAATAGTGGTAAACTTACTCCAAGAATTATGTACGATCCAAATGTATTTATTCCTGAAAATAATACAAAATTACGAAATTAAATTTATTTCTAACATAATTTATTAAAATTAAATCTATGATTTTTACTTTATTTAATATTTAATCTAATTTACAAAATTGGAAATTATAAGAAAAAAATTGAAATTTGATAATTTATAAAATTTGTTATAAAGATCTTACCAACAAGTGTCGCTTGAATAAAATTATTATTATCGTCAACTCCAACAAAAGCCGCATCCCAATGAATTGTTGGAAACGATGGCTGATGACCCGTTCCATAAAAAAAGTACTCCGCTGTTAAAAACCAACAAAGTAACACCGAATCCGGAACTCGAAGCATTTCATCTAAAACAATTGAATTATAAAAATAAAATATTGTACTAAATTTTTGATACAATTGTGTTTTACTATTTCGAAAAAAAAATTTTCAAGAACTCACCAATATTATTAGCGTTTCGATATCGATTAATGCCAGTGATACCTAAAATCGAGATGCAAGTAACGAATATCGCAAAAATACTCGGAGCAAGAACATATCCAAGTAAAAGTGCATGTAATAACATGAAAAACATGCTAAACATAATAATTGTAGCACTATAAATAGTTCCCAAACCATAGACAATTGGTAAATCTTCATCGTCATTTGATTTTTTACGATAAATCATATCCTTCATTTTTTCAAATAATCGTGGAACAACATTTTCACCACCATAAACATTAATTGATTCCTTTCTCTTTGGCAATACATAAATAGTTAATGGTCGATAGAAATAGATAAAAATTCCCAATATTAATAGAAAATAAATCATTGTTGGTAATGCATTTATTTGCCATGAGAGGACAAATTTAACTTTTGCATCTTTTGGCAATCTCAATACCCAATAACATCCCATAAAAACAACAATAACACCGGGACAATATTGAGCAAAAATAACACTTGGCGCAAAACCAACGAGATTACCACAATTTCGCATCCAAATTCTCACAATAGTAATATAAAGTGCAAGAACAATGAGAGCAAGAACAAGAAGAAAACGTTCAAAATTCTTTGAATCAATTGAACCCGATTTGCCCATAACATATGTAGCGCACATGTTATTCTCCTCTTGTATATCGTCACGACATCGCCAAAAATAGTTTGAAACACGAACAGCGAGACATGCGGCAAAACCAAGTGACAATATAATTGTCCAAAAGGCAGTTTTTGGCATTGTTCTCATGAGGAATTTCGATTTTTTCTCAACATTATCCATTGTACATTCAACACGTACACTATAGAGCATCATACACACAAGTGTACAAAGTAAAAATGAAAGAACTTTATTTTCATTAATCACATAACTATTTGAAAAAACACCACACAATGTCAATAAAAGAATAATTCTAACAAAATATTTTGCCTTTTGATGTCTTGTATTGTACCATTTTGACGAAATAACGTCCCAATTTTGTACAACTAATATTGCAAGAAACGCAATTGAAACACTACCAGTACCAAAGAATATCGAATTTTTGAAATCATCAATAAAATTCATTCCAAAAAATCCGCATACAATTAAAATAATGGCAAGATTTGCATAAATTGTATAACGAAGAAATGATGAATTTATCACTTTGTTTAAATTATTTTCAGGAAGACCATTGACAAACATATAAAAAAAGAATAATGTACAAAACATTAAAACAAGACCCTTTGACATTAAACCCGAATCAAATTGTACCCATATTTCAATACATGTATCACGTATTACACGTAAATATTCTTTACCTTCAACAATAAATGCCTCATATTCTTCTCTTTGATTAATATTTTCCAATAAATCTAAAAGATGATTATATTGAGAATCAAATTCTCTGAGTTTTTCATCAGAAAATAAATACGTGTCAGATGAATAGACATCGATGTATTTTTTTGTTTGAGCAATATTTCTCCATAGAGAATGTACAGCGTATTCTAAATAATCAAAATTTGTATTATTTGAATATTTTGGTAATGAATCAAGAATAACAGTTCCTAAATTTGAAAATGGAACAGGCGTTCCTAAAATAGCAGCTAAAGTTGGTACAAGATCAATTTGATTAACAATTGCCGAACTACTACCAAGAAAACGATCAATTAGAGGAATTTTCGAATAAACAAACATTGCAGCATCAATTTCATTTGAACTGGAACCACCATGATCGCCAGTTTCAGTCATTCCATGATCACCAATAACCATTAGAATCGTATCTGTAAAAATTATTTATAAATTATCAATTAATAATTAATAATTAATAATTAAAATAATTACTAGCAATATTAAACGCGCGCAAGCGCGCCAAATTGAGTATATTTAATTGTTTGTTATAAAGAAATTAAAGATTAATATTATCAATAATAATTTAAATTTATTAGAATATTATTTCATATTAAATGATAATAATGAAAATTATTATTATTATATGTTATTAAATTATATATAAAATTGAATTATTTTCCAAATTTTCAATTTAAAATTCAATTATTTACCAAGTTTTCAATTTAAAATTAAATAAAATTCAAATATTACCCGAAATTTTAATTCAACATCAACTTAAATTAAATTATTATCCAAAATTTCAATTAAAATTAAATTATTTTCCAAAATTTCGAGTCAAAATTAATTATTATCAAAATTTTCAATCAACTAAGATTAAATTATTTTCAAAATTTTCAATTTAAAATTCAATTATTTACCAAGTTTTCAATTTAAAATGAAATAAAATTCAATTATTTTTTAAAATTTTTATTCAAAATTAATTATCGAAATTTTCAATTAAAAATGAACTTAAATTAAATTATTATCGAAAATTTCAATTAAAATTCAATTATTACCCGAAATTTTAATCCAAAATCAACTTAAATTAAATTATTATCCAAAATTTCAATTAAAATTTTATTATTTTCCAAAATTTCGAGTCAAAATTAATTATTATCAAAATTTTCAATCAGCAATCAACTAAAATTAATTATTTTCAAATTTTCAATCAACAATCAACTAAAATTAAATTATTTTCAAATTTTCAATTTAAAATTCAATTATTTACCAAGTTTTCAATTTAAAATAAAATAAAATTCAATTATTTTTTAAAATTTCTATTCAAAATTAATTATCGAAATTTTCAATTAAAAATGAACTTAAATTAAATTATTATCCAAAATTTCAATTAAAATTTTATTATTTTCCAAAATTTTGAGTCAAAATTAATTATTATCAAAATTTTCAATCAGCAATCAACTAAAATTAATTATTTTCAAATTTTCAATCAACAATCAACTAAACTTAAATTATTTTCAAATTTTCAATTTAAAATTCAATTATTTACCAAGTTTTCAATTTAAAATAAAATAAAATTCAATTATTTTTTAAAATTTCGATTCAAAATTAATTATCGAAACAATGCCAAAAAAACATTGAAAAATTTTAACCAACACAAAATAATGTCAAACAATACATTTAAAAAAAACAAAAGACCTATAACAAATACTAACTTCAGGTGTGGACAGAATGAACGAAAGATATTCACGATTATTATATGTAATTATTAAGTTTACCTTCTTCTAAATTTTCAACAATTCTTCTTATAAGATCATTGGTCTCATTTAATTTTCTCGTCATTTCCGGATGATTTGGTCCATGTTTATGACCACAATGATCAACGCCCAATGTATGTGCCACAAGTAATGACCAATCTTTTTCCTTTAATTCGGGAAAAATTCTCTTCTCCACTTCCTGATCGACAGTATCCAAATCCCAAACATTAAACGAAGGTGCTGGATATTGTCGTAAAAATTTACCAGGAAATAATTTAACCCACGTGTCATCGCCGATAAAAACAACACCATTTGGTGAATTTTGTTCAACAAGATTGTCCTCATTTATATTCTCAGCATTGAAATTTGAACCAACATCAACAAATGTTGGCAATGTTCCTGTTGTAATACTTTTTAAACGTTGCATCGTTGTTGTCGGTGGATCAGCAACAAATTTATACAAACGTGTATATTGTGGATATTTTGCCAATAAATCATTTATTATTGGCATTTTATTTTTATAATAAGACGGCGCTAAATTACGTTTATTCCATTTAACAAATTCATATTTCAATGCATCGACAACTAAAAGAACAATTTTTGCCCTTGGTTCCATGCATAATGAAGCCGATGTTTGTTGATCTTGAAAAATACTTTCCTTCGTACAATAAACAGAATCTTTACACTGAATACATTCACCTAAAAAACAATAAAATATAAAAAAAAAAACAAAATTTATAGAAAACTAATAAATTAAAATCGAATCTCACCTTTTTCAGTTCTTGCTACTTTGTTAAGTAAAAAACCTTGAGTGAAAAGTAGTAAAGCAATAGCCATGAGATATGATATCCACAATAGAAACAAGAAATAACTCCAAACTTTCGCCATTGTCACTTTTATCTTTTTTTGAAATAATTTTTTTCCAAAATACTTAATCTATCGACTTTTTTTTTGTTGTTTTTGGCCTTTTAAAAAATTAGATTTCCTAACCTATAAATTCTTGGTCCAAATGATTGTTTATTGATCCACATGATCAATATTGACATTAATCTGTTGAAAATATCATTATTTTCACTAAATATATAAATAGTAACAAGAAAAAAAAATTACAGAGGAAATAGTAGTACTCATTGTACTAATATCGAGCAAAATTTTCTCTTCACATCACACACCAAAATGCAAATAAAATCATTTGCGCATGCTCGTATATTTTAGAGAATGGATACGTGCTGCCATCTATTAACATCAAATTCTTCTTTATCGACATAAGATAAAAAAAAATTAAAAATTGTTTATAATTTTTTAAAATTATTTTTAAAAAATTTACCGGCTAGTTTAAATTTTTTTTTTAAATATCAGGTTTAATAAGTAAAATAATTAAAAAAAAAAAATCAATTATTAAATTACTTCTTCTATAAAAGTTTATAATTTTTATAATTATTTTTTTTATATTAAAAAATATTTAAATTATTTGAAAAAATTTTTTAAGATTAAATTATTATGCATTTTCACAGAATCAACATTATTTAGTTCACTCCTCGTCATAAGTGGCTATATTTACTGGGCGTGAGATTAATTACAATTAATTAGAATCTATGTTACTTTTGTATAGCAACACTTACAGTGAAGAGTTTTGTGCTAGTGATGTGAAATTTTAACAAATATTTGAAAATAATTATTTTCAAATGTGTTTTACAAATTTTTTTAAAAATTTAAATATATTAATTAAAGCCAATGACGAAGGAAAAATTGAAAGTTATAATAATGTAAGTTTTAATTAATTATGGGAAATTTTTTTTTTAGAAATTTTATTCATTAATTTTTCGAATTAAAACTTTTCTCTAAATTTTGAATAAAAAATAATAAAATAAAACTTTAAGAGTTATAAATAAATTAATCAAATAATTTAAATAGATAAAATAATTTAAATAATAAAAAATTTAAATTATAAAAATTTAAATAATAAAAATTTAAATAATACAAAATTTAAATAATAATAATAATAATAATAATAAATTTAAATGAATTTAAAAAAATATATATTTAAAAAAAATTAAATTACTTAAATTAATTAAATAACATTTTTTTGATAATTAAAAATAATATTTTTTTTTTGAAAATTAAATTTCTAAAAGATTTTATTTTGTAGTTAATTTATTTTTATTTATTTTATTTTAAAAATTTTAGCGGCCATTGGCAATAGTTAATTAATGAAATTGATAAAATTTTATTTTACAGAATTTTTATCAGCTATTGGATAACCGCGGCAAATTTTGAATTGAAATTTTTACCAAAAAATGGATATAAAAATTCAACTAATGAATCGTTAACATTAGATTCAGAAACGCAGTGTCCATCGTCAAATTTAATTCGAACTCGTTATAAATGTAAAAATTTAAAAAACGAATGGATAGATTGCACAAGGACAAATTGTTGTCCCGGTTATTTATTTATTGGAGGATTTTGTATTCAAAAAGGACAAGATCCTTGTACATTGAATTTTTGCGAGCAACGTTGCAGTTTTTTATTTCAAAAAATTATTTGCACCTGCTGGTCCGGTTACAGGTATAATAATTATTTTATTTTTACTCTATTTCGAATATTGTAATTAATAAATAAATTATTTAATAATTATTTAATAACTATTTTAATAGAATATAATATTATTATAAAAATTATTATAATTTTTTAATAATTAATTTAATAATTTGAAAATAAATTTTTTTTTGTTTAGAAAATTTGTAATTGTAATTGTAATTATTAAATAAAATATCAAATAATTATTATAATTATTTGATAACTATTATAATACAATATAATATTATTATATAAAAATTATTACAATTTTTTACTAATTAAAATAGTAAATAAATTTTTATAATTGTTTAATTATTTAATATAATATTATTATAATAATTATTACAATTTTTTAATAATTAAATTAGTAAATTTATTTAATTTCTTTATTTAGTAAATATTTAACAATTAAATTAATAATTTAAAAATAAATTTTGTTCTCTTTTTGTAATAAAAATAAATTTAACTTTATAATATATAAATAAATCCCATCGGTAAAAATTTTTTGGGTTTATTTTAATTATTATAAATAAATTGAAAAAATTTTACGGTGGGATTTAATATAGTTTTGTATAAATTTATTTTTTTTTTTATTTAAAAAAATGGAAATAAATTATTTTTAACTTTTATTAAAAAATATGTCTAAAATAAAAGAAAAATAAATGAGATTCTTTAATTGCGCGCAAAAAAAAAAAAAATTGTATGAGAAATTTCTTTTGATAAAAATTTAGCGACTATATAACGAGAAAAATAGGCGCCCCGTGGATTTAAATTCTCTTTTTAAATTAAAAAAAAAGGTCTATAAAACGTGTTTGACAATGAAGCTTTTGTTTTTTTTTCTCTCCGTTTCGTGTGCGTTTACCGGAGTCAAGGTTCAATTCTGAGAGGCAAAAACGAGGGTTGAAGCCAGTGTGCGTCGACATTGACGAATGCGTCGAAAACAGTACAGATTGCGAACAGCTTTGTATTAATGAACCAGGAGATTTTTCCTGTGGTTGTAACGACGGTTTCATTCTAAATAAGGACAATAAGACCTGCGAGAAGTTGAAGCATTTTGATCGAGAGAAACCGGAAATATCAGCAGCCAATGATGCTGCTACTGCTGCAGCAGCAACAGCCGCCGCTACTAAATGTTACGCCAGCTGTGATTCTCTCGTTCTTTTACAAAATAAGGTTCGCTTCACAATAATTCGAACAAAAAAAAGAAAAAATAAAAAAAAATCCACCCCCGCTTATTATATTCCACTATTGTACAAAATTACATATATAATTATAAAGGCAAATAATTTTTCAGTACATTTGTTTCAAATAATGTTTAAATTAATCGAATAATAATTAAAAATTCGAATTTTTAATTAATATATTTATTAACTGAATATTTAATTAACTAATTGTGACGCGCTCTGAAGAAAGGGACCTTAGAAGCAAAAAAAATATAGGTTATGTTTTGAAATTTTTAATTGAAAATAAAGAGAATCAACTCCCAGTAGAAACAATTTATATTTAAGTCTTCATTATTACATCCAAAATATTTAATAAAAACTGATTTTAATTTTACAAAAGTAAAAAGAAACTTTTAATCAAGGTAAAATTACCGTAAACATAACCTATAATTCGTTTGCTTCTAAGGTCCCTTTCTTCAGAGCGCGTTACAATTAATGGATGGAATAAATTAATTAACCAATTAATGAATAGAATATATAATTAACTAATTATTGAATTGAGTATTTAATTAATTAACTAATTATTTAAATTAATGCAAATTAATTAATGTTATTAATGATAGTGTTTAATTAATTATTTAATTAATTTATTGTTTGGAGATAATTTATTTTTGATTCAGGTGAAACAATTGGAGGAGAGAATTTTAACATTGGAGACTGCAATGAAACTTGCAAATTTGTATTTTTCTGGTCGAGTAGATCCTCAGGAGGCAACAACGAAATCAAAGGGTCAAAATTCCGGAAGTGATTTGAAATTCGTTGCCGAAGGTTATGCAACAGAAAATGAAAAAACTTACTCTATTCTTGATAGTTTCGTTCAAACAAATTCGGGTTACTGCAAATGTCAACGGGGACCAATTGTGAGTTGTTTTTTTAATTCTATATACATTGAAACAAATCAATGGATTTTTCTTATTTACTTAAAAAAAAATATTGTTACGTTTAAAGAAAAATTTCTTTAATCCAAAAAAACGGTTTTGTTTCAATGAAAAAATAGCGTCAAATCAAAAGTTAATTAATATTAACTAATTATTATTAATATTTATTAATTATCATTGATAGTATTTATTAATTATCAATAATTGTATTTATTAATAATCACACCGAAAAAAATTGATTTGGTTCAAATAATTGATCACTTTATTATTATCAAATAAATATTTATTTGTATTAACAATATTATTAATAAAGTACCTACACTCATAAAAAAGATATTGTTTGAACCAAATGTACCATTTTTTTATATTTACCCAATTTTTTGGTTAGTTCAAACAAAATTTGTTTAATTCAAATAAATATTTATTTGATCTAAATAACTATTTGGTTTATTTTAATAAATTTTTTGAACAAAGAAAAAATTTGATTGAGCTATAAATAAACGTTTGGTTTATGCAACCAAATGTTTGGTTAACTGTATATCAATGCATTTATTTTGTTGATTTAACCAAAATTTGGTTGCTTCAAACGAATTTTTTTCTGAGTGTAATAATTATTATTTGAGTCAATTAAATTGTATTTGTATCAAATATAGAAATTATTGATTCAAAAACAGTTTATTTAATTCAAATAAAAATTATTTCGTTCAAAAATTTATATTATCTGGTTCAGGTAAATATTTATTTGACAATAGTCATAAGTCATTATTTGAATCAAATAAATTTGTTTTCAGTGCATTGTTAAATAAATAAATAAATTAAATGAACAATAAATAATAAATAATAATGTATACCTAATAAAATATAAATAATAAAATTATTAAAATATTTTAAATAATTACAGAAAATTAAAAGGCATTAAAATAAGAAGCGTTGCAGCTTATTTTAATGCCTTTTAATTTTCTGTGATAATAATTTAAATTAATTAATTAAATTTTATTGTTATTCATTAATTAATTGTCATTAATAAAATATTAATTAATATATCATAATAGTATACAAATTAAGTGGAATTTATGGAATTTGAAATTTTATCAAATAGACATCATGACACTGCACACTGAGAAAAATAATATTTGTCAATCTTTTTTTTTTTAAGGGTCCTCCTGGACCTCCAGGAGCTAGAGGGCAAAAAGGTGATGCTGGTGAAAAAGGAGCGAGAGGACAGAAAGCGACAGCTGGGAGTTTTGACTTTTTATTGTTTTTGTTAGCCGACATCAGACACGATATTGTCCTGTTACAGGAAAAAGTTTTCACTGGGGAAACGTGAGTTAAAAGCAACCAATTAAACATTTCTTTTACAATTCACTAAATACAGTAAAACAAAGTCTAGAATTTTTTTATAAAAAAAATTATAGAGATTTATAATATTATTTTTTAAAAATATTTTTTATAATAAAAAAAAATTGATTTTCCAAGAAGAATTTTATATGAGTGGAAAAATAATTCGATAAAGAAATTTTTGATCTTGAAATAAGTTCAATTTATAGATTTTAGAATGAAGGAAAAAAAATTTTTCTGAATTTTGATTTCTTTTCAATATTGTATTAGACCTACACCAAAGTTGGATTTACAAGGACTTTTACGAAAACTCAGACTCGGTAAAGAACGAAATAAAATTGAAAAGGAGGGATCATGGAGTTCAGCAATTAAAGATGTAAATGAAGAAACAGAAGATGAAGCTTCAGGATGGGATCAGTATGAAGTTTAATGATTATAGATATTTTCAAAAAAACAAAAATCAAACTAATTTAGTTATTGTAACTCGATATAAGTAAATTACTTTTGACATATTAAATATTATATATTTATAACAGTTAAAAAAAGTATCATTGATTCAAGAAAATCGTTTACTTGTCCGTCTTTGATCCACTAATTTTCTTAATTCAAGAAAATTTACTTAAAATTTTCTTGGATCAAGAAAATTAAATACGGGCAAATAAATATAGATTTTCTTGATTCAATACTATTTTTTTCCACTGTAGAGACATGGTTAAAAAAATCTTATTTTAAGGAAGAAAATAAGTTTTACTTTATTTAAGTTTCGATGAATTTAAGACAGAGATTTTTTTATAAATAAAAACTTCAAAAGGATTTGAATTTTGCCCACTCGAAATATGTAAAATTCATATAATTAATATATAATAAAAGATAACATTATTGAAGAAGAAATCTCATGGAATCAATATTAACCAAAAGATTACCTAATCCAGAAAAAAGATTTCTTTGATTTAAAGAAACCAATTTCTTTGATTTGTTCTCTTTCATTCGAAATAAAATTTTCTTTGAAACAAAACAAGCTTCTTAGTTTGAAAGAAATTTTGTGCATTATATCAAAGAAATCCTAACATTGATATACACGCAAAAAAAATCTTCACCTGAAACAACGATAAGTTTCTCTGGAACAGAGATATATTTCTCTAGAATAGCGAAAATTTTCGCTGTTTTAGTGGAACATATCGCTGTTCTAGGTGAAAATTTGTTTGCGTGTACTCTCTAAATATGAATCAGTGAAAAAGTCACTGGTCTCAAATCAGTCGCTAAATTCTAGCTATTTGAATCAGTGGTTTTCACTGACAGTTAGTGACATTTCACTGGAGAATCAATTACTTTGACTGAAAATCAGTGAAATGTTACTGATTCAAATAGTTAGAATTTAGCGACTGATTTGAGACCAGTGACTTTTTCACTGATTCAAATTTAGAGAGTAGCGTCAAAGAAACATTTATTTGAATTAAATAAAAAATTTCTTTGAAACGAAGATAATTGAAAATTTTGATATAACATTTATAAACTTGTTTTAAGAGAGAGAGATATATATAGAGAAGAAGAAAATGGATGTTGGCAACATGGAGGGCGTCAGGAGGGTTTTATAGTACCTACCCTTCTCAGAGGGTGACAGAATAATTCGCTGTATACTATCGTATATACATTCAGCAGCTGCTTGTCAGGGCGCTTGCGTTTTGCAACAGTTGCTACAAGTGGGAATCTTATTGGTCGATACTACATTTCATCTGGAGGGCAAATCCGGGATCCTGTTTCCAACCACGCCCATTCCTCATTTTAATAAAAAAGAAAAAAAAACACATGTTCATATATACATGACACCCCTTTCATTTCTTGCATATATATATTATGTATATATATAAAATGCATCCATGTTGCACTTCATTTCAATAATTTGATAAAATTACCCTTGTGGTATTTTTCAGAACAATTAGATAGCAGTTAATAAGATAATAAATAATAAATAATAGTACAGTACTAAATTTCTACTAAAATCTCACAGTAAAAAGGAAATTTATTTTAAGGCCGAAAAGCAGGTGCTTTATTTTAAGATGCAACGTTTTTAAGTTTGCTGAATTTATGCAATGCAATTTCCATTATACTGCAAAAAGAAGTATCTTATTATAAGACACATTGGAAGCAAGTTACCAAAAGTATCATTAAGAAACTAATGCATTTTAAGATGTTTTTGATAACTTAGAAGCAAATTGTAAAAAAACATCTTAAAAAGGCGACCAAAACATCTTAAAATAAGATACCCAAGAAGCACGTAATATAACCTCAATATCAAGGTAATATTACATGTAAGATTCGTAATATAACGTTGTAATATTACAGTAATCTTACAGTGATCTTAAAATGTCCGCCTCAAGGTAATATTACCGGTAATGTTACTGTAATATTACGCGCTAATATTAAGGTAATATTACAGTAATATTGCAGTAATATTATACCGTAATATTAAGGTAATATTACAAGAGAATATTACAGTAATATTATGGGAACATTTCTTTACGAAAAAAATCTACCCATCCAGGGAATCGAACCCCGAACTCAAAGCACACGAGTCCAGAGTTTTACCAACAAGCCAAATTGACTTATAATATATTTACGTTTTTTATGCTTTATGAATAACTCAAATCAGTCTGTAATATTACTGTAATATTACCGTTAATATTGCTGTAATATTACCGTTAATATTACAGTAATATTTCCGGTAATATTACCTTGAGGCGCGGACATTTTAAGATCACTGTAAGATTACTGTAATATTACAGCGTTATATTACGAATCTCACGTGTAATATTACCTTGATATTGAGGATATATTACGTGCTTCTTGGGATACTTCTTTTTGCAGTGTAAGTAGTGCTAATTTTAAGAGATATCTTAAAATAAGATTTTCTTTTTACTGTGCTCCCATTTTTCCAAAAAAACAATTTTTATCAGATATTAAAAAATGTTATTAAAAAAAAATTCGTTTAGAAATATATTATATATAGAAAATCGTGGGAACTAACTTGAATTACGCGATTAAGTCAAAAAAAAAGTTATTGTAGTTTTCTGAAAGATAAAAATACAGCCACCTGTATTTAATCCTTATATGGCACTCAATTGGCCGATCAATATATATATAGAGGGAATGATCTTAATCAGGATTTTGGTGTTTTTTTTCTGGTTTTCTCGCATCCGCACTTGTAGCGAAATATTGAGACTAACCGTACATACACCCGGAGGAGTAGATTTTAGATTAGAAGACAATAAAAACGAAAACCGAGGAAGGTGCATTTGCGATTGTTACAAATTCCACCCTCAAGCTATATATGTATTTTTTTTTTACACACATGTACACCCCACCCTTTTGTTTGGCTTTTGACAGGGGCGTCTCTATCTTCCTCTTTCTCTCTCTTTCTCTCTCTTTTTTGCCCTTTTTCTCTCTTTCTCTCGTATATAACTTGACAATTCTATCTTGATTCGATCGAATCTAATCTGCTTCCACAATATTGCGCGTGTGTTGGCAAACATAACGTAATTCGAGATTATTTCTTGATCTTGATTTCATCTTCTTGCCCTTTCTATATATAAACTATATATATGTTTACCTAACTGTGGTGGTTTATATTCTCTATAATAATGCTATATGTACTTATACGGGGGAAAAAGGTGCATGCTTGATATAGTCGTTTGCCTACTACCTGCTGTTCAAAGAAAGATCTGATACTTTTCGTAACATGGACCGTGAGAGTATTATATTAGTATATATTTTTCGAAAACCGGATGCTGTAACTTTTAAATTTTTCCGAGAGAAAGGTACATTAAAAATTATATTTATTTAATGGCTACCTAATACCGGAAGGTTAAAAAAACGATTTGATTTTGAGATTTATAGTTTGCGGCTGTGCTTATATAATTTCAATCAGAAAAGTGGTTTGTACCATCTTTAAACTTTACAAAGATTAGATTGCAGTATTAATTCATCGATGCTGTTAAAGAGGTTGTACTATTTACAATACATATATTGTTGAATTTACAATCTGTATTGTACTCAATACAAATTGTACTGTATTATTTATAATCTGTACCCAGGCAGAAAAGTCGGAGGTATGCCGATACTTACGACTGGTATGACACCGGCCCGGTGGTAAAGCCGGACTTTAACTGGTACCGACCCTGAAGTACCGGCCCGGATGATAAATTATCACCGGCACACTACCGGCCAGGTAATAAAAATGGACATGTGCCGGTGTTATAACGTGGAACCCAGCCGGCTAAAAAAAACAACCGGCTTCAAACTGTCCTGGTACCGGCCAGATACCGATATTCAATGCTATTATTAAACCGGCAAATGAGATTTGCCGGCAAGGAAATTTGTACCGGCCCGGTACCAATATTTAATATCGTTTTTCAACCGGCAAAAGAGGTTTGCCAGCAACGAAATTTGTACCGGCCCGGTACCAATATTTCAATAAAATTGTTTGAAGCATTTAAATAAATATACATCGCATTCGAAAATAAAACAATTAAAAATAAATATATGATTAATAATTATTAAAACCAATTTATAGGTAATTTCTAACTTTATTTTTGTTAGATAATTATAGTTAGTCTATAGATTTTTTTAGTAATTTTAGTAAAAATTAGTAAATTTGTGAAAATACAAGAATAATTTTATGATAATAATAAGGTTTTTATTCCAGGGCGTTACCGGGCCGGTACAACGTCGATGGTTATTTTTTTTTTATTAATGATAATTATTAACTTCGCGATTGAATAATTAAAATTTACGTTTTTCATGTTTATTTTTCATTAAGTTATTAAATTTTGAAACAAATTATTCCTAGTTTGGCTTTATTAGTACAATTTGCATTCATAAATCATAAGCAGATTTAGGGTGTAGTGTATGTGGCATCGACTTTACAGCCTTAAGGTCCCGAGTTCAACTTCTAGTGTCTTCAAATTTTCTTCAATTTTATATATATACACAGAAAATTAAAAGGCATTAAAATAAGCTGCAACGCTTATTATTTTAATCCAATTTTGCTTATTTTAATCCATTTTGGTATTAAAATAAGCAAAATTGGATTAAAATAATAAGCGTTGCAGCTTATTTTAATGCCTTTTAATTTTCTGTGTACTAATTATGTAATTTCATTTGTTTCAGCATTCCGTTTAATGTTTATATATAATTTGTTTAACGATTGTAATATATATGAATGTAAATTAATTCGAATGAATAATTAACAAAATTTATTTTTTTTCAACCGGCCCAGTACCGGCCCGATGGTTTGCCAGTACCAGGCCGGTACCATACCAGTGTAGTATAATCGGCATTAAACACTAAAAACATGAACCGGTGGATTATTAGTACCGGCCCGCGGTACCGGTGCCGGCTACTTTCCGAGTTATCATTATTGAGTTTACCGGTACCAAGCCGGCAGAAATGCTAGACATTTGCCGGCACCGGCCCGATGCTCCAACTACGCTGGCAGTACCGGGCCGGTACCATGCCAGTCGTCGATTTCTGCCTGATGGGTATTGAACTATTTATAATCCATATTGTAATATTTACTCTCTAAATCTGAAATAGTAGTTTTCTACTAATGAAAAAGTGCGGATTCGTTTACCAATTGAATTAGTAACAGTTTTGACTCTTTTTTAGTAGAAAACTACTAATTGCTAGCAGAAAACTACTAATTCATGGAGTAAATCGGCTTACTAATTTAAAATAGTAAAAAATACGGTTTACTCCATAAATTAGTAGTTTTC